GGTAGTGAGAACTGTGTGCGAGGGCACAGCGAGGTGCCCCGGTCGCAGGTGACAGGAGCCAGGTTGGGCTTCTCCAGGCCACCCCTCCGAGCTGCGTGTCATGCACACACAGGTGTGGTTCGGGAAGGCTCAACAGAGCCTGTCCGTGGGCCCCTTTTCACTCAGGAGCACGCTGGTTTGGGGATTTCTGACCCTTGAGAAGGAGCCGCGGGAATAAAGGCCATTAGTCCCAGGCACCCCACTCTAGCGCTGGGCCTTCCAGGGGGACCCGTGGCTTTGCGGCTTGTTGGTAAGACCTACCTTGAGGGCTAAGGGCCCAGGGGGGCTCCCTGTTGGCCAGTGCAGAACAAGGCAGTGAATGCCCGCCAGCCCGCCAGCAGGTGCAAGGACACAGGCCCGGCGGTCAAAATGCAGAGCTGGGGCGGGGGACGCGCGCCTGCGGGCCCCAGCAGCCCGCGGGCGGGCAGCGCCACTCGCGTGGGGGCGCCCCTGGGGCTGTGGGGGGCGGGGAAGGATCGGAGGAGGGGGAATGAGCTGGAGAGGGAGGGCCGAGCCGCCCGCCACGGCCCGGGCCCCGGCGCCCCGCCGGCGGCAGGAAAGTGAAAGGGCCGGCGGGGCCGGCGGGGCCTCCGCGGCCTCCGCGCGCCGCCCCAGGAAGTCGCGAGCAGGAAGCGCCCGCGGCGGACGGCTCGGGCCGCGGCGCAGGTGAGGCGCGGGGACAGGGCGGGGAGAGCGACGCGGGGACGCTCTGCACCGCCTGCACCCGCGGGGCCGCCGGCTTACCGGTCTCTGGGTTTGTGGCCGCGCAGCACCTGCCGCGGCGGCGCCGGCCCCTGCGTTCCGGCCGTCCTCCGCCCCGCCGGCCTTTGTGCCTGGCCTTGGCCTGGGCCGGGAGTCTCGACTCCTGCCTTGCCTCGGAAGAGACCGGAGCGGCCCGGGGAATCCCGGGCAAGGGGAATCGGGCGAGCCGAGCGGTCCCGCGGGCGCCCCTCCTCACCCTGCCCCGGTCGCGGTGACAGCGGGGGTCCGGGGACCCCGCGGGAGGAGCCCCGCGCATTGGCCGCCGCGCGCCCGGGACGTGGGCGTGTCACCTAGTCCGCCTCTACCGGGGACCCGCCGCCGGGGAGGAGCCGGCGCTGAAAGGCGTCCGGGAGGCTCGGGGAGCTGGCGCTCTGGGCCTCTGGGCTGTTTGTCTGCTGAGCAGCTGGTTCCCGGAGCCCGTGAGCCTCCCGGCCAACACAGTGACAGCGTCCTGTGGATCGATTGGAAAGCGCTGGACAGTCCCCCACCTGTCGACCACCAGCCTTCGGGCTCTTTTTTGCCTCTCTCCCCCACCTTCCGGTGCTCCCTGCCCTCCAGCCACGCAGCCGCTTCTGGCGACCCGGTGACCCCGAGGGACCGTCCGGTTTTGCATTTGAACGGAGGACACTGGAAAGCCCTTTTTCCAGCCCCAGGTTTGCATTTCTAAAGGTAGAATTCCAAAGCCTGCCTCTCCTTCCGTCTCCTGGGGCTGGGAGGCGGCCAGCTGCAGTTGGGTGCCGCCCGACTGGGACCAGAGATTGGGGGAAGTTGTTTGAGTTGGTAGCTGTTAAGGGCCTCTTCCCGGCGCCTTCCTTGGTCTCCCTGTAGGTCAAGAGACTCCAGACCTTCAATGTCTCCCCATGTAGGCTGGGACCCCCACAGGCAGGGTCTGTTTGTGCATCACCTTTGACATTCAGTGGGTTGGGGGTGGGGGAGAGGAGGTGATGCAGAGAGAGTTCTTTTTGTGTTTAAACCCCAGGAAAGAGATAGTGGGCACTGTCAGTAATGTTTTGTAGGGAATAGAGCCTTTAAAGTAGAAGCCATAGAAAGTATTTTCTCTAGAAAGGAAGTTGTCTTCGTTCTCCCCCTCTCCTGCCATTCTCTTCTCTCTCTCTTTGCAGAAAAAAGAAGTAACTTTCTGGGGGGAAGTGTACCTTCCACCCGACTTTGCCTTAAAATAAGATCCACTTTGAAAACTCTCTTTGAGTAGCTCATTTAACATCTGTACAGGGCTGCTGAGGTTTACACAGCGCTCGGTTCCGGGAAGACCCTTTCAGTGTCACTCTTGTTGAAAGAGCCCACAGAGCGGTCCTGGGCAGCCAGGCCACCCATGGACGGCCGGAGGGCACGGCCCGGGAATGCTTTTGTGCCTCGGGTTATTCCTCTTCTAGTTGCGGGGTTTGGGCACTTTCGGAAGGTGGGTATAAAACCGTGCCTGTTAGCAGGTTTGACTGATCTGCTCTGGGAGGTGGGAAGGAGCTGAATTCCCCATCTGATGGTAGAATGACCCTGGAGAGTGTGACTTCTTTCCGGGAATAGTGACTTTCAGGCGGCCAGGGGAAAGAGTACGTCTTCTTTTATGCAATGGGGTGTGTGCTCAACGCAGGGTGTCAGGTGCTTCGCCTCGTTCCCCTGTGCTCTCCGGGGACAAGGGACAGGCCAGAGGAGGAGAAGAGGGCGGATGCGGCTGAGAAAATCTGGACCTGAGTTTGCGCAGTGTCCCGCCCATGGGGCAAGCCGCCGGTCCTCCTGGGGAGGGAGTGCCATGCCTCCCGGTGGACCTCACAGGGCTCCACGGCTCTCCATGCAATCCGTGCTTCTCGGGTCACTGCCCGGCTCTGGAGGAAGAAGCCTCATTCAGTTGAGCTCTTAACATCCCACGTGTAAAATCCCTACCTTTACTTCTAGGAGAGTGAAAGCACTTGCCTTCACCCATTTCACAGGGGAAGACCGTTCAATTGTTTTTGAAAAGAAGTTGAGATTTTCTTACCCTGCTGGTTTCCAGGGCCTTCTGGATTTTTTTTTTTTTAAATTACAGGTTTTGGGGCACCTGGGTGGCTCAGTGGGTTAAAGCCTCTGCCTTCAGCTCAGGTCATGATCTCAGGGTCCTGGAATCGAGCCCTACATCAGGCTCTCTGCCTAGCGGGGAGCCTGCTTCCCCCTCTCTCTGCCTGCCTCTCTGCCTCCTTGTGATCTCTGTCTGTCAAATAAATAAATAAAATGTTTAAAATAAATAAATAAAATTAAAAAAAACAGGTTTTCCCACAATCGAGGTTTATTGATTGACTGATTCAGAGGGGAATACCATCTAGAATATTCCTAGACAAGCCACACCTAGCGAAGCAGTGTTTGGACGGAGGAAGGAAGTGGACTCTGGCCATCCCTTTTCAGGCACTGTAAAATTTAAATCCTTTACTCTGCGGTCACAAAATTGTTTCTCAGAGTATATAGAGGCCCGGACAGGAGCCCACTCATTTTGACCGGAGTTTTAGTAAAATATTCTTTATATCTGGATTTTGAGCCAAAACATCTTTGAAGCATTTGCAGAGACTGGTTTAACACGTCTCCAGAGCGCTCGCTCTGTGCCAAGTTTGAACCTAAGTCCTGGGAATGGGGCAGCTACGCGCCACCCTGGCTCTCCTGGATTTTCTGGAACACCAGCTGCTTTTTCCTGAGCTGCTTCTGCCCGCCAGGCCCTCTGCTAAGGGCTTTCCATGGGTGATTTCTTTTCCTCTTCATAAGAACCCTAAAATGTGGGTGCCACCGTCCCTATTTTGTTAGCCGGGGACAGCAAGGGGACAGCATTGAAGTAATGTGCCTGGGATTAGCCAGCCCAAGGTCAGCTGTAAGGGGGCTGGGGAGGGCCAGGGCCAGGGGTCCTGGGATGAAAACGCAGCAAGGAATTTGACGTTTTTACTAAAAAGTGTGCAGGGCAATCCCTGAAGAAGGCACTGTGTGTGGAGGGGAGAAGGGCCAGAAGGCCGGGGTGGGGGGGTGCCCAGGCTCTTAGGAATGTAGCTGGAACCTTCCAGCAGAGCTATTTGCTTTGCTTGTCTGTAACCCCAAAGAGGTTGTTGGAAGACATTAAATAAATTTCAGCAGCTTTAAACTGAGATGAATGTTTACTCAAAAGTAGCTTTTAAAAAAAAAAAAATACGTAACTGGTGAATTTTCAGTAAGTATTAAGACAGCCCAGGCCATGCTCCTACATGCACTGGGTCCCATGTTATCTAAGGCCTTGGTCCAAAAGATTCCTTGTGGCCAAGCATTCGAGGATAGACTGAGAAGTAACGTGTCCTGAGATTGGCTTTGGGACAAGAGACTGGGCCTACCTGCCGTGCCTGAGAAGTAACGTGTCCTGAGGTTGGCTTTGGGACGAGAGACCAGGCCTACCTGCTGTGCCGGCCGTCCTTGGTTCTCAGGCTTCCCTGGCCGTTCCTTCCCGTCTTGCTCTGCCATCAGCCCTGGCTTCGGAATGGGGTCCTTCCCCAGGACATGAGGCATCAAGAGGCAGTTAGACAGTCGGGTACCTTCCCACAGCACGAGATGCATTTCAGTTCAGTCGCAAGGCCACAGTGAAATGATCGGCTTGATGACCTGCCATCTTGCCCAGGCCTCTGGGTCTCTCTGTTAGTGTGGCTTGGACGTGGCCTGGTCCACAGGGGGTGGAGTCGAGCCTGTCCCATTGCCTGGCATGCTCTGGTAATTGAGCACACAGTATGACCACTGGGCACAGACTGGTTCCACATGAATATTAGTATTAGTTCCATATTGGCATTAGTTCAGTAGAGTGTGGTGGTTAAGAGCGAGCGGGAGATCTCTGGGTGTCTCCCAGATGGAGAGGGAGGGACTCGGGGTCTCTCTGTTCATCATCAGACCACGTGGAGTTTGTGTCTATGGTCTTTGAACAAGCTGTTCCTGAGGGCAGGCAGATTGCCTCCCCTAGTAGCTCTCTTGGGGGGAGTTCGGTGTGGAGCTGGAAGCCCAGCTTTGATCTGGGCCAGCCGACACCCACTCCGGACCTTATGTCTGCCAGGGACTCCCACAGTGGCCCTGCCGGGACACCTGACTTTTCCACTGTTCATTCTCCTTGTAGAGAGCCGAGCCTCTGCCTGAAGGAAGAGGGCAAGCAGGACCCAGCAGGACACCTCGAGGCACCTTCCAGTCAGCGGGAGCTGCAGGGGCCAGAGAGCAATACTGGGGCCCGGGTTGATAACCCATGCATGAAGCTTCTTCTCTTGTGACCAGAGCCCCGTGGTCAGTGCGGCGTAAATGGCTCCCCTGCCCCCAGGCATTCGCTTCATCGTCTCATTCTCCCGGGATCAGTGGTGAGTTCTGGCGCTCAGCCCCGTGGCCCGGTGCTCTGTGGAGGTGTGCGTATGGCTGGTGTCTATATAAAATGCATGTGGATGCCTGGCGTCCCTGTGTTACTGTTGAATGGCTTATCAGCACTGGAAACTGTGACCAGGAACTTTGCTAAGTTGTCCTCTGCGTTTGGTTCTGGCCATGACAGATAGTGTTAGGACTCCCTCGTGGTGAGTGGCTTAGCTGGGGCAGAACTTACTGAGAGAAAATGCAGTCTAAACAAGTTAGATGCAGACCAGAATACCGCTTCCTGTTTCAAGAACAACCTCACGTTGCAATGCTCTAACAGCCCTTCTCACGGTGGAGTCAGGAATCTCACACCCCTTAGAGGAAGAAGAGGGCAAGGGCAGAGACTAGAGCCAGCCTCTCCGTCCAGTAGCCCACCCGCCCAAAAGTTTCTCTTTCCTGTTGCTCTCTACTGGGAAGGAATAAGTTTTCCTCTATCCTCTTGGGCTCCTTCCTTGGGGGCGTGCAAATTAAACTACAAAAGACAGATGTGATCACATATGCAGGGGAGGTACGGGAAAATGTGACTCAGAGGGCTTCTGTGCCGTCTTAATAAGGGAAGAGGAGTAGGACAAGGGCATATGTGGAAAAACAAATGACTTTTCGGAAAGGTTCAATGGGCCTTACGGGAACAGATGGGAGATAAGATAGTGCTGTGGGCCTTTCTTTAGGTGAGCTGCTGGTGCTTCTCCTTTCCAGCAAGAAGAGTGTCTCCCCTGCTGCTCCCAGGGGCGGGGTTTGCAACACTTGAGTTCTTCTAGGTGGTTGTGCTTGTAGGCAGGTTAGAAATTAAAGGCACTCAAATACCCTCGGCTCAAAACAGTTTCTGTGCCTTAGTGCCATATCCTATACCCCTTCATCTCTGCCACGACAGCCCGCTTGTGGCCCTCACACCCTTTTCTGCTTCTCAGGCCCCTGCTGGTTGGTGGCACCCACAGGGCCTCTGCGTCCCTCCTAGAGCCGTTCCCTTGTCATTTCATTTCACGTCTACCGGTAACCTGGCCTCGAGCTGTAGATACTTCCCTTTCCTCTAGCGGGCGCTTCCCTTCAGTTTCCTTGTCTGTTTTGTAACTTTGTTTTGATACAGTTTCCAAAATCACAGAAGAAAATTGTAAGAATATCACAAAGAACCCCATGTCCTGTATGTCACAAATTCATTCTTTTCTTTTCTCTTTTCTTTTCTTTTCTCTTCCTTTTCTTTTTTCTCTTCCTTTTCTTTTTTCAGGTTGAGGCCCCTGGGCTTCTCACACTTTAGTTGACATGTGCATCCTCCCCCTGGAACGTGTTAAAACGCGCATGCTTACTCAGGAGGTCTGGGGTGGGGCCTGAGAGTCTGCATTTCCCCAGGGACAGGGTGCCCTGAGTCTGCAGACCGCACTCTGGGGGGCAAGGATGTCTCTTCCATCTCTGCCTCAGACTTGCTCGTTGACCTTTACTTTCTAGATCCCAGCTCCCTTCCCTATAAAGGGAGAAAGCTGGCTTGAACATTGCTGCAGAGGACTGGTTATGTCTTTCTCCCAGTTGGCATTGCCCTTGCTGACACCACCTTGATTTCCTTTGGGGACCTGACTCCTTTGTGCGCAGTTGTGGGACTGAAGCGGGCTGGCTGGGTCTTGGGACCCAGAGGAGGGCCCCAGAGGACCAGCCAAGAAAGCCCTCGGCCTCAGGCGGGGTAAAAATCAGACACAAACTGAGAGGAAGTAAGAACGGAGTCTATTAAAGATACAGAGAGTGTGTGGATACAGACAGGGCATCCGGGAGACTCAGAAGGGAAGAGTGTGTGTCATGTTCACTTGGGGCCTGGGGTTTTTACTGACGGTGGTCTGGTGCCCGTGCCTCCTCAGTAATCCAGGAACAAAGCCAGTGTGGAGCTGTCCTCCGTAAGTCACTTGTGCCCTGGAGCCGGGGGTTTTGGTGAGTCCCAGGTCTTGGAGACGTTCAAGATGACTCCCCCCGGTCACTCCTTAGATATATCATCTGCTGTGCTGGAAAACTCTGAAGAAGTCATTAACTCCTTGGTGTTTACGTGAAAGACAGACATTATCTGTTCTGTCATAGATGTGTAAGGGTGGGGGCAAAGATCTAGCAAAAACCGAAGCTGGAAATGCAGTGAGAAAAGCCGTTTTTTTATGGGGTTCCTTTAGTTTCCCTGTCTCAGTAGGTGGGTAAGTCTCGGGACTTTGGGGTCCATTATGGCGGCCATCCAAGGCCCCTGAGGCTCTGTGCCCTTGACCTTTCTTCTTAGCCCACATCCCCCAGGAGGCAGTCTGGGGCCCAGGAGGGATACTGGTCTCTGTCCTGGGGTGCTGAGTGTTGAGTAGAGTAAACCTTGGGTAGAGGGACTGTTGAATGTGGCCAGTCCAGCTGGGACCAGGGCTCAGCTCCCAGACACACCTGCACACTCTGCCCCATTTGCCTCTTCCTCCACCCTCTGTGTATGTGTGTGACACACACAGAGACACACACACACACACACGTATTTTTCTGAATCATTTGAGAGTCAGTTGTAGTCATCATGCCCTTTTATTTCTCAATATGCTGGTGTGTGTTTCCTAGCAATAAGACATTCTCCTATAACTGCGCGTGAAGGTCAGAATCAGGATATTTAACATGAGGTAATGCCGTGATCTAATCCACGGTCCATATCAGAAGTTACAGCAGCAAATGTCCCAGGATGTCTTGTCCTACGTCCCCTGGTCCAGGACCCTGTCCACAATCACATGTTGTGTTCCATTGTCCTGTGGGACTCAGTCTCCTTCAGTCTGAAGCTGTTTCTTGGCCTTCCCTTGTCCTTCATGACCTTGACATTTTTGAAGAGTACCGGCCATTTCTGTCGTAGACTGTCCTTGTTTGGGTGTCTAGTTAGTATTTCCTCAGGACTGGATTCAGTAACGCTCTTCTGTTAGGAACAGCACAGAGGGGAGAGGACTTCTCGCTGCTGGTGAGGGGCTACAGATGCGGGCGCAGGAGGGGCTGGTCGGGAAGTAACGTATCAGGAAGACCGGGAGAGAAATAGGTACATGTGGTTCTGCACGTGTGTTTGATGCACGCGTGTGGTGTGTGTGTGCACACGCGCATGTGTGGTATGTGTACATGTGATGTGTGTTGTGTTTGATGTATGTGGTATGTGTGTTGTGTTTGTGCATTTCTGATGTGTGTGGTGTGTGTGTATATGGTGTGCATGTGTGTTGTGTTGATGTATGTGATATGTATGGTGTATATGTGGTGTGTTGTGTTTGTGTGTGCATGTGTTTGCTGTGTGTATATAAGTGTGTGCACGTGTGTGCTGTGTTTGCTGTGTGTGTGTGTGTGTGTGTGTGTGCTGTCTGAGTGTGGGCTGTGTGTTGTGTGCGAGTCATGTGCCACACCCAGCCGGCTCAGAGGCCGTGGGGTGCAGCAGCGTTTGGGGTGGGGAGCACTGGGTGCTGGGTGTCAGGCTCTGCAGGTCTCGGGCTCTGCGTGCGGTCTCCTGTGGAGGGACCCGGGCACCCCTGGAGTCCGGACCGAGGTCAAGGCTGGGGCCGCAGGCGCAGTAGGAGGAGGAGCCAGGACTATTTCATACCAGAAAATGATGAGCCCAGTCTGGAGTGACTTGAGATTTAAAATAAATGATGCTAGTGGTGGATTAGTCCGATGAATAAAACAAGATCCCCGGAGCAGCAGGGCTGTAAGTGCGTGCACGAGGGCAAGAAAGGAAGCCCCGCCCCCGGGGGATGCCTGCAGCCTCCCCACCCCCCCCAGGCCCGCGCCCTTTCTGAGATCATCAGGATCACACACTGCGAGGGGAGACCAGAGGGACAGGATCCCCGTGTCAGCTCCTTGTATGTCCCCACAGACTCCGCGTTAGTTACACAGAGGGGAGAAGCGCCGCTTTCTGGGCGGCAGACTGGGCACAGGGCCGCTGGGGCAGAGGGCCGCTTGAGCAGGTGGTCTGTGCCAGCGTCTCCAACATCCCGTCGGAGCCTTAGGATGCTCTGGGAAGGTCTCCCATCGTAGCTCTGTGTGGTTTCCTTGTTCCCAAATTAAGGACGCCTTTGGACTAACTCCCACGCCAGATCCTACCGCCCAGTAACTATCCTCTAAAGCGTTTGTCTCTCCCGTTGGCGTAGTAACCCTCCAGCGAGGAAACAGACGCTGTGCCCTTCACCTCGGGCTGAAGCAGGCTGCCGCCCGGGGGCACACGCGAGGCTGGAGACCATGTCTGCGAGGCTCTGCAGGTGCACACCGGGCCTCTGCTGTCCCTGCTGAGATGCACTTTTGCTTAGCTAGAAGCTTCGCATCAACCCCAGCACCGTTCTTGTGCTGATCGATGTGAACAAGGCCACCGCTAGACAGAGCCGCAGAGTACGTGGCAGGCCAAAGAGTCAAAGGGTTCTGTAGCTCCCTTGTAATTGTACATGGTTCCTTTCCCAAGCCTAAGTGTGACATTGAACAAAAACACCAGTATCAGATTGCATTCGTGTCCCGAGGCCGCCGTACCAGCCCCACACACGACAGAGGCTGCAAGTCACAGAACCTGCTGTCGGTGGGGCTGCGCAGCTCCCAAGGCTCCAGGGAAGGATCCCTCCCGCCTCCTCCAGCTTCTGGGGGTGCCTGGTGGTCCTCGGCCTTCCTGATCTTGGTTCTGCCTCTGCGATCACGCTGCCGTCTTCCTGTCTGTCCTTGTATCTTCCGTAAGGCCTTTATAAGGATGTCAGTCATTGGATTTAAGATCTCGTGTGGTCTCAGGTCATACGTGGGTTCAGTATGGCCTCAGCTTCACTAATTACATCCCCAGGACTCGATTTCCAAATAAGGTCACGTTCTGAGGTTTTCGGTTGGACTTGAATTGGGGGGGCCCCCCCACAGGATTCAACCCAGTGCAAAGTGGACAGTCACTATCATCCACAGTCCTGCTTCGTAAAGCATAAAGGAAGACAGAAAATGAGGATAGAGTTAATCACAGGCTAGGAAAAGCAATCAGGAAGGTTGTGTAGGACTTTGGTCCTATAACCCCAGGTAATCCCGTGGAAGTAAAATGTCTTCCAGACCTTCTGGAAGGGAACCGTCAGCCCAGGATGCCAGCCCAGGATGCTGACTCTTCCCCTCCACAAATCCTGTGTAACCACGGTGAGGAAAGGGAGGGAGGAAGGACAGATTTAGGAGTAGGGGGCGCTAGAGTCGGCCCTGACACTGGCTAAACAGAGGTAGGGTTTTCTGGTTCAGAATCTCCAGGACAAGGCAGCAGCCCAGAGAATGACCGTGTAGGCGCAGGGAAGGAGGACGGCAGCCCAGAGGTGGTGGGTGGAGGCCCAGGTTGGCCACTAAGTCTGGGTAACCTGGACAGACTGTCATCTAGACAACAGACACATGAAAAGATGCTCAACATTACTCATTATCAGGGAAATGCAAATCAAAACCACAGTGAGATCCCACCTCACACCAGTCAGAATGGCTCAAATGAACAAGTCAGGAAACGACAGGTGTTGGCAAGGATGTGGAGAAAGGGGAGCCTCTTGCACTGTTGGCGGGAAGGCAAGCTGTGGAAAACAGTATGGAGGGTCCTCAAAAAGTTAAAAATGAAACTACTGTACCATCCAGTATTGGCACTACTGGGTTTTTACCCAAAAAATACAAAAACACAAATTCAAAGGGATATGTGTGTCTCTACATTTACAGCAGCAGTATCTACAGAAGCCAAGATATGGAAGCAGCCCAAGTGCCCACAGACAGATGAATGGATAAAGAAGTGGGATGTGTGTATATATACGGAATATTACTCAGCCCTAAAAGATACTGTAATCTTACCATTTGCAATGACATGAATGGATCTACAGAGTTAAGTGAAGAAAGTCAAAGAAAGACAAATACCATATGATCTCATGCATACGTGGAATTTAAGAAAGAAAACAAATGAGCAAAGGGGGAAAAAAGAAAGAGAGAGACAAACCAAGAAACAGACTCATAACTCTGGAAAACACACTGATGGTCACCAGACGGAAAGTAGGCAGGGGATGGGTGAACCAGGTGATGGGGATAAAAGGTCAAATAAATACAAACAAAATAAATAAATATTAAAATCAAAATAAATAAGATGAAAATACATACATACATACACACATAAACAAATAATACATTATAACTGTATGCTGATGTCAGAGGAGGTACTGTATGTGCTCTCTTCAAGGATTTTTACCTCTTCAGACCAATATCTCTCATGAATATAGATGCGAAAGTCCTCAACAAAATATGAGCAAACCAAATCCAACAATATATAAGAAAAACCATGTGTCACAATCTAGTGGCCTTTATTCCTGGGATGCAGGGGTGGCTCGGTATTCAAAACAATCAACGTGATATTTCACATCAGTAAGAGAAAGTATAAAAATCATCTGATCATTTCAGTAGATGCAGAAGAAGCATTTGACAAGTCCAACATCCATTGGTAAACCTTCATCAAAGCAGGTCTAGAGGAACACGCTGTAACATAATAAAGACGTTACATGAAAAACCTACAGCGAACATCACACTCAGTGGGGATAAACAGAGCTTTTCCCCTAAGGTCAGGAACCTAGCAGGGATGTCCACTCTCCCCACTGTTACTCTACATAGACTGGAAGTCCTGGCATCAGTAATCACACAATAAAAAGAAGTAAGAGGCATCCAGATTGGTAAAGAACTCAAACTCTCACTGTTTGCAGATGACATGATACTGTGTATAGAAAACCTGAAAAGAGTCCACCAAAAAACTGCTAGAACTGGTAAGTGAATTCAGTAAAGTCACAGGATACAAAATTAATAGACAGAAATGTGTTGCATTTCTATACACTAATAAGCAGCAGTAAGTGAAATTAAGGAAACAATCCCATGTACAATTGCACCAAAAACAATAAAATACCTAGGAATAAACTTAACCAAAGATGTGAAAGGTCTGTACTCGGAAAACTATAAAACCCTGATGAAAGAAGTTGAAGAGGACACAGATGGAAAGGCATCCCATGCTCATGGAGTGGAAGAGCAAACATCGGTACAGCGTCCGCACTGCCCAAAGCAATCTACGGATTCAGTGCCGTCCCTGTTAAAGTACCAACAGCGTTTTTCACAGAACTAGAACAAACAATCCTGAAACGTGTGGATCCACAGAACCCCCAAACAGTCAAAGCAATCGTGAAATGAAAAAACTGGAGGAATCACGATCCAGATTGCAAGGTACACTACGGAGCGGTCGCAATCCGAGCAGTACAGGACCTGCGCAGAACCAGACACAGGTCAGCGGAATGGGACAGAGAATCCAGAGAGGGACCCTCAACTCTGTGGTCAACTCATCTTCAGCAAAGGAGGCAAGAATAGGCAACAGGAAAAAGACGAAATGGTGCTGGGAACACTGGATGGCCACATGCAGAAGAATGGGACTGGGCCACTCTCTTACACCACACACAAAAATAAACTCTAAATGGCTGAAAGACCTCAATGTGAGACCTGACCCTGTAAAAATCCCGGAGGAGGGGCGCCTGGGTGGCTCAGTGGGTTAAAGGCTCTGCTTTCAGCTCAGGTCATGATCCCGGGGTCCTGGGATCGAGCCCCGCATTAGGCTCTCTGCTACACAGGGAGCCTGCTTCCCCTCCCCCCCACCCCGCCTGCCTGTCTGCCTACTTGTGATCTCTGTCAAATAAATAAATAAAATCTTAAAAAAAAAAAAAAATCCCGAAGGAGAGCGCAGGCAGGACTTTCTCATCATTCTCAGACATCAGCCCTGACAGCATTTTCTAGGTTCGTCTCCAGAGACAAGGGAGATACAATGTAATCTTAATGCATCTTGTATTAACTTATGTCATCCCTGCCTCTGTTCTTTGTTGCAGGTACAGAGCCTTCATTTTTATTTTGACATTTTTGCTGTATGCAAGCTTCCACTTATCCCGAAAGCCTATCAGCATAGTTAAGGTAAGAAAGCATAAAAAGCACTGTTTCGCTTCCTGCCTGTAGCTTCTGCTGGGAGCTGGTAGCTACTTTAGGAGCCAGTTTGGGAATGGGGGAGGGGCAGGGGAAGGGGGGGCGGGGCCATGGAGAGAACAGGTGGTTTTAGAATCAAGTTATCCTGCTTTGATTGTTAGTTTCTCTTTTCTGAAACAAAAATCTTGGACATGCTTTTAGGGTTTATCGTTTTAGAGGTGATATGCTTTCAGTTGTAGTAACTGACAGTTGCAGAATTCTAAAACTTAATCAGATATTTACTCTGTGACCTTCCATCCAAATACACCCAGTCTTAAACTGTGCCCCGAAGTGCCTCTGCGATCGCTGTCCTCTGATTCTAAGTCTGGCCATGGTCGTGGCTCTCTTGTTATTCTGAGAACCCCGAGCTTCTGTTTGAGTGATGGGAGAGCAGAAAGTTGCTCAGCAGGCATTTAACTACACTTTGAGAAAAGAAGATTAAAGTAGACAATCCTACGTAATAGCCAGTTACGACTGGGAAGAAACAGGTCATTTTCTTACCCTCTTAGAAATGACATCATTTTGCCTATAAACTCTCAACAGGCTGTAGGCTGTTGACTCTTGATTGTAGAAGGAACAAGGAAATTGTCCAGTGCCGAAGACTGCCCCCTCCCTTACCTAGTCGTGGGCAGGGACACGGATCCAGCGCTGTAATTCTGACCTTGGCAGCCACGCTTCCTACCTTCCCACCTCGTGGTTGAGCACCGGCCTCTCGATCTTCAGGCCAGTGGGAGCGGCAATGCCAAGCAAGGCTGTTGCTTCTGTGGACAGTTTGGTGTTCCCCCTTCTCCAGTAACACCCAGGGGATGTTAAAACAGCATCCTTCTATGCAAAGGGTTCTGCAGTACAGTACCTCCTTGACCTCTAGGAAGCAGGAACCTTCTGCGCCCTTCGCATCCCTTGCAGAATTCTCAAGTTTTTGATATACCAAGTTTTAATGGCTGTAGAAATGTTTGCAGACTTTAAAAAATGTGGTTTTCAAGGGAAAGACAAGGGAGAGTGGGCTTTAATGCATCCAACCAGGCACTCTAAAATCCTTCCAAGGACTAGCCACACATTTATTTATGTTTGAAGATTTTATTTCTTCATTAGAGCACACAAGCAGGGGGAGAGACAGAGGCAGAGGGAGAAGCACGCTCCCCTCTGAGCTGGAAGCCCAGTGTGGGGCTCTATCCCAGGACCTGGAGATCATGACCTGAGCCGAAAGCAGATGCTCAATCATCTGTGCCCCCCAGGCGCCCCAGCCGCTACATTTAAATGTCACCACTCACTCTCTGTCTTCCTTGTTAGGGAAACACATGCACAGCTCAAGAAAAGGCAAGTGATGGAAGTGGAGGAGATTGTTGGAGAGGTCCCAGTGAGCGCCGTGGGGCTTAAGGAGCGGGAGTGCTTGGGGGGCCTGCCGGGGTTTCAGGATCCAGCTTGCCTGGAGTAGCCGATGGAGGGTGGACCCTCACCACGAAGCCCCAGCCCAGGGGTCAGAGGCTCTGCTGGGACACAGGCGGTGTGGGGAAGGCGGGCTACCCGTTGGAGGATCTTGGTGGCAGGACAGGACACTGGGACTCCATGTGATATCGCGAGGGGCCTCGCGTAGCCAGGAAGGGATGTAGCATTGCCGTAGGGCACAATCCCAGCTTCCCTGTTAGGAGTTTGGGGCTTACTGCCGATTGGTGTCACGATGAGGCAGGGTCCTATCGGCCCTTCTGGAAGCATCTGTCAGTCACAGGGCTTGTTGTAGCCCGCGGTGTGACAGGGTGACCTGTTCACCATTTGACACAGAGTCCCCACGGTGGCCTGGGGACTCGGGGGCCCAGTCCCCTCATGCAGGGCAGTGCCAGGTCTGGTGAGTTGGGCAGGGTCCTGAGGCATTGATCTGAAGGGCATTGAAGATCTCAGACACGCGCACGGGCCCGCAGCCGGATTCTCTCCCACACACAGGTTTTCCGACTTAGCGCCTTAGTTGTGCCCGGACACAGATGGGCCTCATGCGCAGTCTCCTGAGATCGATCCGGACGTGCCCCTACAAACATCATCCTCAACTTTACAACGCGTCACAAAGCTTCAACACACTTTTGCGCATCTTACTTACAAAGTTACAGCTAGGGATGATTCTGGTGGCCCAAGGAATAGTCGAATATCTGTGGTCTGTATTCGCTAGCACATGACAAGCAAAACAAAATGAAAATGTATGTGCTTACCTGGAGTTGATCACCAGTGGTTGTGAATCATAAAATGGTTCACATCCCTCAGTGACATTCGAAGAGCGGCATGACATGTGACATTGTGGTGTAGCAAAAAGAAAACTAAGGTGTCGGTGATGGACGCGGGCCGGGAGGTGGTGGGTGCAGGCGCAGCCCTCCTCCCTTCCACCTGCCGCCCCAGCCCAGCCTCCCGTGGCCCCCGCGGGAACGGCGGCCCCGACAGGTCTGAGTGTCAGCGCCCGGTCCTCTCTGGGTGCACAGGGCCCAGAAGGCGGAAGCTGTGAAATGCTCGGTGACAGACGGAAGACAGCTGGCGGCACACCCCGGCTTTGGGTGGGAAGGTTGCTCTCTAGAAAGGCCAGTGTCCCGGGATGAAGGCGGCTGCAGCGGAATGTCTTGGCAGGCCTTTTTCACCGAACAGAATCAGCCTAAGAATTTATGTGGCAAAATGTCCAAGGAAAGTGTGGAAAAGATAGCATTTTTAAGCCACTACAGTTAAATTTTCTTGGTATGGCATGAGAACAGACTGAGAGGTCAGTGGAAGGGCATAGAAAATAAGGCGTGGTAGACAGAGAGGAGGGAAGATTGTAGCTTCTTTAGCAAACAGCGTGAGCGCGACTGGTTGTCCGTCTAGAAGAACGGAGTTGAATCCCTATCTTACAAAAATAGATGGATGGATGAAAGATCTAAGTGTAATAAATAAGTAAAAATCCACGAACAAAATTATGTCCGTTGGAGGGGTGTGAAGTTGGCAAAGCGGAAGGAGGACGCCAGAGGGGGAGGAGAGTGAGTTCACAGACAAGGAGCCGGAATCCCGCCAGACTGGATGAGCTGTGTGCAAGCTTGCCAGTGCCCGTGAAGGCCGGCGAAAGTAGCAGTAGGTCGCCTCACACTCACCGTCTGGACACCCGACACAGCGCTCTAGCCCCGGTCACGGGCGGCAGGGGCGGCAGGGGCGGCAGGGGCAGCAGGGGCGGCAGGGGCGGGAAGACAGCCGGGCGCCGCTGGTGGACGTGCAGGGCTGCAGCTCTTGGGGGAATGTGCCACTCTCCGGGCCGTGAGTTCGAGCCCCATGTTGGGCGTAGAGATTCCTTAAAAAAAATAATAATAATAATCTTTAAAAAATAAATCAGTATATCAATAAGTAAATAGATAAGCAAACCACAAACAAAAAAAGAATTAGAGCTATACCGCTTGACACAGGAAGATTTCCGAGAAGGATTTTGAGTAGGAAGAGTTAAGGTGTCCCTAAGTCTGTATTAAGGCTTCCGGCTTTGAAAGATCAGCCGTGAACAGAAAGCTCTCCTCTCTCTCTGCGTGCACCTGCCGGTGGGGGTGTGTTTGCGCCGCGGTCCCGTGGCCCGTGTTCCCTCGGGGCACCTGACCGCATGTGGGTCGTGCTGTGGGTGACTCACGGCCGTCTGGTCCTCCTGCCGCCGGCCCTGTGCCCGGTGGCCTCTCCGCAGCAGAGATCTACTGCTCATGGTTCTGGGACTGGAGACCCCCGGGGCCCGCGGGCTGGGGGTCTGGTCTAGTAGTCGCTCTGCAACGTCGCTCAAGTTCCAAGCCTACACAGCAGCCTTCTTCCAGGTAGCTCCGCTAAGGAGCCATGGCCTGTGGCTGCATGGACGTGTGTGCCTTGAAAGGGCCGTGCTGTCCACTGGTCCCGCGTGGTTCCCTTTCGCTGCCCACTGGTGGGGCGGGGGGCAGGGCCAGGGCTGGGCGGGATCTGCAGGGGGGACCAGTGCCCACACCTGCTTCCCCACCCTCACCTCCGCGGCCCCTCACCTACACCCACGCTGCTTGCTGCTCCGGGGCTGCTCGCTGTGGCCTCCCATCCTGCGGCCACCGTCCTCTCCCGCCCCACCTTCCGGTCCCCGCGGCCTGTGCTCTGTATTTTGTTGTTGCTGTTCCGCCATGGGTCACACGGTGACAAGACGACCTCAAGGATCATGTACCTGGTGGACTCCACACCACGTAGGCTCCCGACTGCTCAGCTTTGAGTGACCACCTGCTGTCACACGCGGCTCCGTTCCCGCTGTCGGAGGAAGCACTCTAAACGTTAGCAAAGACGGCGGCTTTTCAAAGTGAGGGACGGGCCGAACGCTGTCACGCCCCCTGCGAGCCCGTTCAGCTGCTGAGCGTTTTCCTGATCGCTTCATCTTGGTCAAATTTCCTTAAATTTCCCCCGAACACAAGGTTGGGGAGTAAAACTCACTGGAAGATGAAAGTACGACAGTGTTCCCGACAACCAGCATGTGGTGACGCGAGTGTCCCCAGGACCCTTGGTGCCCGAGCAGTGGGGAGGCTTTTCTTGCTGGGCAGTGTTTCAGCCGCCCGGAGGGTGGAGGTGGTGCTTCCAGGTTCGGGGGCGGGCTGGGGAGGGGCTGGCTGTGAGTGGGGGACCCCTGCCCGTGGCTGCCAGTCCCCGCTCTCCGAGAGGCCAGGAGAGCGGCCCCCACAGGGATTGTGGAGGCAGGAAGGCAACGCCCTGGCCCCGGTGTCGCAGCTCAGAGCCCGCTTACCGCAGGACAAACCAAACCAGAATCGCTTTTCTGCTTGTTTCGGAAACAAGGGATCCTTCCCAGTCTTTGCTGTTTCTCACAACGGCTGCTTCCTGGGCCTCTGACCCGATGGGAGAGGATGTGAAAACCGTGTTCGGAGCAGGGGTCCACAGCCGCCTCCTCCCCTGCTCCCACGTCAGGCCCTGCACGTGGGGATCCCCCCTCTCAGCAGGCAGGTCCCCCGACAGCCTGCCTGCAGCTTTCTTCGTGGGCAGTGAACGGGGAGAACAGTGAGGCACAGGGTCTGGCCTGGGGAAAGGCTGACTTCTGCAGGAGAGGAAGAGGAGCTAAATATAGAATCAGGGGAACAGGGAAATGTGAGACTGCCTGGGGCATGTGGGAGGGAGGGGCTCGGCCTCCCCAGCCTCCCTCCCAGTTCCCTGCGACATCCAGCTGGGCGATCCCAGCGCACGGGCAGGGGCAGTGGGGCTCTAAGTAATGCAAGAAGGGCGAGAGGAAAGCTATTTAGCAAAGACTGAACCGAGTCTGTAAAGCAAGCCTTGCTGATTTTTAGGGCAGTGTTTGAATTCTAGCAGAATGCCCAGTGAGGATGCCAAAGCCACAGGACCACAGAGTGGCCAAGTCCCATGGGCCGTGCCAGCTCTCAGTGGCGTGCATCCATGCAAAACCAGGAGGCGTCCAGGCCAGCCTGACCACAGCCCTGGCAAGGGCAGCTGCCTGGAGGTGATCAGCCTCTTAGGCGACTCCCTCCCAAAGAAACGGTGTGGGCAAGGGAAGGTGGTGGGCAGGACTCCGGTTGCCCCCCACACCCCGTCCCCGAGCCTGGTGCACTGGGGTGGGGCTCCTTGCCCACTGCCCTGTGTCCTGACCTGGAGGAATTCTCCTGGGACCAGCTTTCCTGGTGCCCCCCTAGCCCCCTGCCTCTCCCAGGTGGCAGCTCAATAAGGAACGCCCTTTTAGGGCCCCTGCTCCTGCTAAGGGCCCTTCCCTGACCTCGAGGATGCCTCCTTTCTGCTCTCCCATCTGGTGGATTGCTTCCTCTGAGCCACTTGGAGTAAAGAAACCTAGAAAACGCTCAGCAGGTGGCAGGGAGCCCCGTGGGAGGGGAGACGCGGGACAACCCGCAGCCCAGCAGGCGCATGGAGGTTCCCCCAGAACAAGATGGGCCCCAGCCATCATGTGGCACTTTTCTGGAAGCGGGGTTCCTCTTCCTCAGCAGCCCCCGGTGTCCCCTGTGCCCTGCGCACGTCTCCTGTGACCTCCCCTCCAGCCCTTCCTGGCACCCCCATGCCCCACCGCAATGGCCACCTTTCCTCACGGGGCACCCCGTCCCGAGCGCAGTGCTGACACGTGGTGTTTGGCATCTCCAGTCCCGGGAAGTGTTCTGTGGGTGACGGGGGCAGCCCTGTCGGGGGGGGGGGGGGGGGGCAGGCACACAGGCAGGGTGGGAGTGGCCTGCTCTGGCCCCACACGAGCCCCTGAGCCTCCCGCTCCCCTTCCCCCTGCCCCTGGCCTGCCTGCTGGCTCCGGGGACAGCTCGGTGGGCTGGTGGCCTTGTGGCCTGGCTATTTGGTTCTCTGGGTGAGGTATCTGATTTGCACACAGCAACATCCTCGGACCTTCAGTATCTAGCCTGGCGGATGTTTATATGCTCCCCCGGGCAGTCATCCCTTGGGCTCAGGTCTGGCCCCCTTCTAGCTCCAGGTCCAGGCTCCATGTGCCCTGTCCTCTGTTAAGTCCTCTGCCGTTGGCACCGTGTCAGGCTTCCTTGGTTGTGAGATCTGTCCTCATTGTCGCATGGACCTGTGGCTTGTCTCGTGTTCTGCTGGGCAGGGTTGGGTTGTAGACATTGAGCAGGAGGAGTCCCTGCTTCCACTATGGGCAGGTGGTGCCGGGATGGCAGCAGGTGGCTTCTGCCACATGGCTGCTCAGGGCGCTCGTCTTGGGGGCCGCACGTAGGCCTGTGTGGGCTGTGTGCGCGCTCAGGGCTGGCCGCGGCCGAGGGCCCCACGAATCTCAGTCCCCGCGGGCACTCTGTGGGTCCTGCAGACAGATCACACCCATGGGGCCTCACTCCCCAGGCATGGGCTTGCCCTGCGCAGGCTTTCCGCTGCGAGCCCGCGGAACCTGCCCTGAGCACACTTTCTCCCTCTGGCCTCTGACCCCCACGGGTGGCCTAGGGCGAGCTGCACAGATACTGCACTACCCTGCACGAGGGGCAAGTCCAGTTCAACAGCTGGAACCAGAAAGCCAGTGGCGCGCCTCACCGCCAGCCGGCAGACAACGAGACGGACTGTAGCTGGGCCCCGTTTGGTGAGTTCTCTGTCCCCCCATGTGCACGTTGGGGTCGGGGCTTCCAGAAGCGCCCTGTCCTCCGGCTCCGCCATGGCTGGGCGGCTGGGTGCTGCTAGACGCCGGGCTGCCCCGTCTGAGCCGCAGGAACCACCTTCTGAGTGTGACTGCCTCTCCGGGGACCGCGGTCTCCCGTCAGTTGCCCCTCCCTGTGTGCAGAGCCGCTGCCATCTGACAGGTTCGCGGCCGGGGGGACCTGCTGCAGACCCCTTGTGTTTTGTCCATGTCGAAGCTGAGAGATCAACAGCGGGGAACAACAGGGAGACCCCCGGAGGTGGGGGGCGTGGAGCGGGGGCTGGCCTGGGGCGGCCAAGGAGCAGTCAGACCCACACGGGAGACAGAGTGAAGGCCCCACGTGCTCCTCGGGACGCGTGGGGATCTCCTGTCATATCCACATTTGTTTAGTGACTGTTTGAAAATGTGGCGACTCTCTTTCCCTTTGTCAAGAAGCCACCAGGTGTTCCCCCAGGTGTTCTGTGCTGCGAGCAGCCCCGTTCTCCTGAGTGCACTGCCCAACTGTACAGGGCACGTGTGTGTTCTGTGGTCTTGCCCCGGAACACAAGCCGGTGCTGGATGCAGAGCGAGCAGTACTCACCGTTTCCTATTGATTCTCACCCCTGTAGACCAGGACAACTACCAGCAGCTGCTCGGGGCCCTGGATTACTCGTTTCTGTGCGCCTACGCCATTGGCATGTACCTGAGGTAGGTCCGCTAGGGTTCCCCTAGATGGTTCTTGTCCCTCTGGGGCAAAACGCGTCCGCAGGTTGCCTCCCTTCCCGTGTCTTCTCAGAGACGAGGGCAGAGTGAAAGCCAGCCTGCCCTGCTGGTCGGGGCGCCGCTGCAAAGCTGCACACGTAGACGGCCCAGGTAGTGTGCTGATCGGGGCAGACTGTCCAGGGACGGCGCTCGGGGCCCTGGGGTTTCACACACATTGTGAATCCTGCCACAGTGTGGTCACCAGCGCCGGGGTGCTGGTGGCCCCCGGGGATATGCTGCGGAGCGCGTCCTCCCCTCTGGTCTCCAGGGCTGCCGTCTGCCCGCATGACCCCGGTTGCCAGTGCCAGGGCAGTTTCTTCCCCGCTGCCCAGCTCGGCCCCACAAGGTGCCTCACCGCCCTCCTTGTGCTTGGGGCACGGACCCCAGAGGCATGCTGCTGGGAATGAATCCGACTCCAGCGCTGGCTCACACGGCTTTGGGCCAGTCATTGCCCCTCTGTGGGCCTCAGTCTCCCCTTTGTGAAACGAAGAGAACGGTAGTTAACTGATAGGATCGTGGCGAGGACCCAACAAACGTTCAGAAGAGCCTGGCCCGCGGAGCGCTCCCAGCATCTTTCCGTGTGATCATTACCCCATTCCAGATTGACCCGGGAGGGTGGAAATGGTATGTTGGTACCAGGACAGGTGATTACCCGATTAAAAACCGGCATTGTATCAGTTCAGCCAGGTTTTAAAAAAAAATTGGGGCTCCTGGGGGACTCAGTGGAGCATCTGCCTTTGGCTCAGGTCACGATCCCAGGGTCCTGGGATGGGGTCCCTGCTCAGCGGGGAGTGTGCGTCTCCCTCTGCCTGCTGCTCCCCCTGCCTGTGCTCTCTCTCTCTCTCTGTCAAATAAATAAATAAAATCTTAAAAGAAAAAAATCCTAGGGACTAAGGCCCTTGGCTCAAGAGATTTTTATTGTTGTTCAGAGATCTTCAGAGGTTTAAGAATCTTGGTGATTCCTGTAAATGCTTAGCTTCTTTCCTGACCAATCCCCCCGGAGCGTGGCATCCTCTAGACCTGCCCCCGCCCCAGCTCAGGGCAGTTGGTGGGTGGCCGGTGCCCAGGCAGGCAGTTCCTGTTGGTGGCGTGGCTGTCCCCCGTTTTATTGTATTTACCTAGCGCTGCAGAACTTGTCTGAACAAACGAATGAATAAGGATGGATGCGAAAACCCTCTGTGTGTGACCCACAGCGGAAGACAGCCCAGCCGAGGAGAAGGCGGGGGAAGCGTTCGGCTTTGTGGGACATGAGTTGCAGCCGGGCGGCTGGCCTTGTTCCATCTTGAGATCAGATACTGATACCCGAAGACCACAGTCTTACCAGACACTGATAACCTATAGTATAAAAAGACCCAAAAGTTCGAATGTGTTTTTCTCGGTTACTAGAAAATAGTATTCACGTGTGCTTCTCAGCTAGGAGTGATTTTGTCCCCTAGGCAACATTTAGCAGATCTGGAAGCATGGTTGGTTGTCACAACAGGAGAAAGGGGCTTCCTGGCGGCGTCTAGCGGGCAGAGAGCAGGGCCGCTAAGCGTGCTACAGCACAGGACAGCCCCTCGCCGCAAAGAATGACCCCGCAGCACATCAAGAGTGTTGAGGAGAAGCCTTTAAATAAGGTGGTTTTATTGTTGCTTCTTCACTGGCAAAGGTAGTGTGTCATGCAAGTTGCTAAGGAGGGTTATTACGAAATTCCGTCTAGCGTAGACTCTGGAGTAGACTCGTGACTGTAACAAGGGCATCCACTGCTTTGCGTAGCCTTTAGTGACATCAGGGCACATGGCTGGTGAAATGGGTTGTTAGTTTGGCAGGTGAATCGTCTGCAGGGGCGCCTGTGTCAGCACAAGCCTTTCCTAGTGGGTGCGGCGTGGCCTTTAGTCCCCGTACGATTCGGATGTGAGACCGAGTGGCATCTGTTCCCTTAGGCCTTTTCTTTAAAAACGGAGTAGAGACTAAATTTGGGCCCATTATCGTACAGCAAGACTGAGAACATTTGTCAGCCCTGGCCGATGGCATTAGCTCTATCCTGTGATGTCAGACGGGACAGCCAGCCTCTCTCGGACACATTTTCTCTGCTCTGAAACCAGCAAGTTGAAAAACATCACTTGCTTAGCTCTAGAATGCTCTTGAGCTTGTGATATTTCTACACAACTTTGAATTTGGCCTGAATGTTATACCTAATTTAAATAGTTACAAATATATATCATAAATATTTATAAATTATTCCTAATTTTAAATTACTTCCTTTAGTCATTTGGTTGGTGCTAGGTAGATGGTCCCTCTCTGGGGACTTCAGGAGAAGTGTCCTGCTGTCTTGGTTCTTGAGAAGGACAGAATTGGAGATCGTTCCCTGAGTAGTGTTCCGGGGCCAGCAGGTATCCTTATATTTCTTGTTTACATGACTCCGGGATGGTTACGTGGAAGGAAGGGAGATCCATGCTTTTCAGTGACTGCAGGAGGCTCACAATCATTTGATGATTCTGGTGTTTGTCCCCTTCATAAGTGACAGTGGCAAACCGCTCTACAGTGGCAGTTCTCCCCAGGCAGCCTACTTCCCGAGGCCTGAGCTGCTCTGTCGAGAGCAGCCACCATGCACCAGGCCCCTCGCCCACTTCAATCTCATGGGAGCCATCCCAGACAGCTCCGGAACGGAATTGTCCCGCAAGGCCAGCTCGTTACCGAGTGACGTTGCTGGGACAGGAGCATAGCAGTCCTAGCCCCCTGTGTCAGCACTCGCATTAAAGAAAATCTGTCTTCAGGTCACAGTGGTGGCAGCTGGAGGGCAGCTAATGGTAGAGCCCATTCAGCACGGTGTGTGGACACAGGTGACTTAGCGACAGTTTCAGGGCGGAGAGACATCCCGAGGCAACAGGTGATCCCTTTTCATGACACACGTCTACGGTCTGAACATCACCATTTTAAAATACTGTGCACACACACTGGACGTTGTTTATATAAAAGCAGGACTAACTAGCGGGACAGGTTTGTACTGTTTTGTTTTTTGAAGATCTTATTTACCCATTCCAGGTGGGGGGCGGGGGAGGAGCAAGCAGACTCCCTGCTAAGCACAGAGACTGACGAGGGGCTCGATCTCAGGACCCCAAGATCATGACCTGAGCCAAAACCAAGAGACACTTCCGCAACGGAGCCCCCCAGGGGTTCCGGTGGTCTTAACTGGCAGCCGTCATGCGCAAGTCACAGTGTTTGAGGTTTACGACTTGACAGTCCGTGGCCCTTCCAGAAATAAAGTCCTAAAAGACGTTGCTGATGGCCAGTCTCTGGTTCGTGAGCTCTGCTGGACACAGTTGTGATGAAGTCTTCCTGGAAACTGTAGCGCGTTCGAGTTCTGAAAGCTCTGAGAACAGCATGGAAATTTCCAGAAAGGTCACAGCTCCTTCACATCATGGGTGTGTCCGTCTTCTCATTTCTCACATTCACTTCTTTGTTCTCCATCCTCAGCGGCATCATAGGGGAGCGCCTGCCCATTCGGTACTACCTCACGTTTGGGATGCTGGCTAGTGGTGCTTTCACCGCCCTCTTCGGGTTAGGCTATTTCTACAACATCCACAGTTTGGGATTCTACGTGGTAACTCAGGTAAGGGCTGGGTCCGTGGCTTCCCAGGGACCGGGTGTCCATGACGAATCGGACTGGGCGTTTGGGCCTCGGGTCCCCCCCACCCCTGCCACGGGAGAAAGCTGCGGGCTGGGGCAGCTCCGTGTCCTGTCTGCCAGCCTGGGAAGGACCGCATTCCCACCCACATCGGCACCCCAGCACGGGGACCGACGCAGGAAGCCTGGGAGCCCTTCCTCCCTCACATGGAAAGCTTTGAGATGTGTCCTGCGATGCATTTGACCTCTTGTGTCAGAGGGACTTGAGGTGTGGCTGGGGAAGGAGGAAGGGAGGGCTCCGGGCTTGCCGCCGACAGTCAGCAGGGAGGCAAGGAGAGAGCCCCATGGTGCTCTGAGGGGAGGAGAGGCCAGGGCAGGCTCTGCCCATCCCATGGGGCCATCCTTCCTGCAGCCCCTGCTCCAGCGCTCCCCTCGGCCCCATGGGGGAGTCCCGACTGCAATGGAAAATGGCTTGTGAAACTGCGGCTCAGCCCCTGAGGCTCTCCACACAGCCTGGGGATGCCATCCTGTCATCAAATCAGATTGTATGTAATTTGCTTTTTAAAGTGTTGCCGCAGGACTTGAAAAGTTTGGGTGTTTTAATTGCAACAGTGATTCACACTTTATAGTAAAATGGAGAATTAGAGGGAGGGAATGAACAGTTCCCCAGAGTCCCAGCATGTTCCTAGAGGGAAGGCAAGCCTGGCTGGCCCCAAGGCCAGACCCACAGTCATCCCGACTCCCTCCCGGAGGGCTGGCCTGCCCAGCGGCGGTGGTGGGGGGAGGCAGTCGGCTGGACCTGTTTCCCGTCTCGTTGTGAACTTGCCCTTGATGCTCCTGAGACTAGAGCAAACCTGCCTCCCTCCTGAGCCCCTTCTCGGAGCCTGAGCTCGGGGCACTCTCAAGGAGCGGAGAAATGCTTGTCGCAAGCGCAGGGTCCTGCCTGTGCTCCTTTCAGAGGGTCGGGATACAAGAAGTGAAACGTGTGGTCGGTGAGCTTCCCTGTACACGGTTACACTCACAGTTACACACACCTGCACGCGTACGTCGTTTCAAACCTGTCTTTGGCTCCTGAAGCTCCCATCAGAGAGTTCTGCTGCCTTCTTGTGGGAGTCTCCGCTGTGCTCCCAGACTTGCCAGGAACAGGGCGGAGTGAGCTTTTGTGAGCCGGGCCTGAGGACGGGGCGCGCACCCTCTTGGGCTGGCGGTGAGCCCTCTTTCCTCTCTGCCGCAGATCATCAACGGACTGGTGCAGACCACCGGCTGGCCCAGCGTCGTCACCTGCCTCGGCAACTGGTTTGGGAAAGGAAGGTGAGCAAAGGTGGCCCCGCTTCCAGCGGCATTTATTCTTTGAGAGTCTGGTGAAAACCAGATCACCTTCTTTCTAGTTATTCTTTATATTTACTGCAGAAAAAGCCACTTTTATTAGTCCACTCAATGAAGGAAGGCGACTGAACTCTCTGAGACTTGGGGTGCTGAATTCAGGTGGGCCTTCCTCCCAGGAGACACGCCCACCTTCATCCCCCCTCCCCCGCCCCATTCCGTGTCATGGTTGGGGCGAGTCTTCTGCGCAGCTGGTCCCCTGTGAGCCTGGGAGAAACTTGGAGCTTGGGGCCCTGCCCCACATCTTCTGAAGCAGAAGCTCCATCTTCCCAAGACTCAGAGGCACACGGCAGTGTGGCAGGGTCCTGAGTGGGTCACCCAGCGCCCAGCGGCAGAGCCGCACTCAGCCTCTGGTGACGGGACCGCAGTCTGGATGACATGGTGATATCCATGTGACACACAGCGTGGCCGGGCCCAAGGTTAGAAGTGCCTGAAGCCACTAAACACGGCAGGGAAAGCAGAGCGAGAGCCCGGCTCCGCGAGCTTTGTTAGGATCCCCCACGTGGCTCATCCGGCGGGCTCTGTGAATGGGGGATTTCTCACACAGCTGTAATTAGATTATGAAGGCACAGATTTCATTCTGGGCCCTTCCAAGAAGCTCAGGCAGAGGCTTCTTTCACTCTCTCTAAGCGTAGACTCACTAAGCCCTGAGAGAGGCGTGCGATGATTTGTCCCGAGGCCCGGCAAGAGCGCTGCTCTGTGTGCGTCTCCCATGTCCGTCTGCCTCGCGGCCGTGGCGTCTATCATCCTGCTCATTTCCGTGGGGGCCCTGACACGTCCTGGGCACCGTCTGTCCCGCACCCGCCAGCGCATAGCAACTTCTCAGCGTCGTTTGTGTTCCGTTGTGTTGCAGGCGGGGCTTGATCATGGGGGTCTGGAATTCGCACACCTCCGTGGGCAACATCTTGGGATCCTTGATTGCTGGCTACTGGGTGTCCACGTGCTGGGGCCTGTCCTTCATCGTCCCCGGGGCCATCGTGGCAGCCATGGGCATAGTGTGCTTTCTCTTTCTCATCGAGCGTAAGTACATGCGGCCTTGGCGATGACGTCCCAGCAGGGGGCTTTGGGGGGCCAGGTGTTAAGGGAAAGGCCCACAGTGGCCCTGGCTCTCCCCCGGCCGGGTGGACTTCCCTCTTCAGGAATAGATTTCTCCCGTGAGCACTTTCTCTCTGGCTCTTGCTGCATTTCCTGTTGTCTCCTGATCTCTGGAGCAAGCGATGTGGCAGCTCCTCTCCTGCCCGCCCCCAGCATCGGGCATGCGTGGTGCGCCTGGTGCCGGGAGTCCTGTATGTGAGATCTGCCACGTCACTCACCCCCGGGGCCACAGCGCCCAGCACCTGCTCAGCCGTCTTGTTGCCGCAAACGGGCATCTCCCCGGCTTGTTTGCCTTCTGATAGGGTAATATCATGAAATCACTGCGTGACTGCAGACCCTGTATCCGAATCAGGTGAAGAGTGTGCTGCCAGAAAATCAAATTCTTTGTTCCCTTCTAGGCTCAATGCCAAACTTCTGATTGAATTGGGTTTGAAATTAATTTTCAGATCGGGAATCTGGCAGGACAAGGACTCCTGGCCGTCAGTCCAGTGATAGGAAAGCCGCTTCAGCCGTTGCGGGGCAGGGCGTCCGGTCCCCCAAGCACTTCTTGGAGCTGGATTGGGCATTTGCTGCTTCGATTTGCCTTAAAGCAAAATAAAATCATAGGCACTAGATGGCTGTTAATCCCAGGTAGGGGTGCTCAGGGGCTCGGTGCTGCCACCCATGCGGGCGTCAGCTTCAGCTCTGCGTTCGGAGCTGCCAAATTCATCCGGGACGTTAAGGCGTGTTTTACTCAGCTTCTCGGTTCTCTTTTCTCATTGCTTGCCAGCGTCACCAACCTGTGGCATTTAATTGGAGTGTCACGGAGTTCCGGGAAAGGTCCCCTGTGTCACCTGTCCTCCAGGCTGGCCTGCTAGCACGCGGAGCTCTGTCACGGGGCGTTGCAGCCTGTTCCTTAGGCAGTAGTCACCTGGAGAACAACGCGAGTCCTCTTGGCTCCTGCACAGGGGCCCCGGGTGTGTCCTGCCCGAGGTCAAGAGTCCACGGTCCCTTTTCTTCTCTTCCTCAGTCAATGAAGGGTTGGTTCCAGGGGCAAGAGGAAATGCACTGAGGAATGGGGTGTGTGGCCAGAGACGGAACAGCCACTGGCCGGCCCGGATCTTAGTGCCCGAACCCGTTCAGCCGGGTTCTCCCAGGCGGTGCCTCGTCCCCTGCTCAGGGCAGGGATCCCAAGAACCAGGAAGCTGTGGTTTGTCTTTTGTTATAAAATGAGAGCCTTCTTCCCACCGGGCCACCCCTCCTGTGGCTTCCAAGGGGGCAGGACAGGGCGGAGAGGGTCCACACGGGGCTCTCCTGGCACCGCCTTCCCCCCACTTCTTGCTGGGGCCTCCCATTCCATCCAGGGATTGACCTACGGCCCCTGTCCTATTCCTGTGGTGACCCTGGATCGCTGCTTCTCCACCCTGGCCTGCTGGGGGACAGAAGTGCAATCCCTCAGCTTCCCCAGGCCCACCAAGCCTTGAGGCCAGGGGACCGTGCCTGCCAGACTGTCCCGGGAGGCTTGCTGTTACTGAGGGACAGGGGGGACAGGCGCACACCTTGCTGTTACTTGGCAGGGGACAGGCGCACACCTTACAGACCTGGGCTTGCGTCTCCTGCTCCTCGGGTCCTCTGTGACCTGCAGGGTAGGCGGGGTGCTGACCCTGATGGGAGACTCGGGGCTCCACGGGCAGGGTGAGTGCGGTGGGACTGAGGCCTGGACTCAGAACCTTCCTCCCACCGCCCTCCTGTCCTCTCAACACATTCTCATGGTCAGGGATGGATTCATGCTGAGGGTGTCTACCTTCAGCCCTTAGTAGTACGTTCACTGCAGGTGACACAAGAGGTCAGGTGAGCCCCTGTTCCTCCCTCCTTCCCGGACTCCCCACACCTGACCTCCTCCTCCCCAGCTTTCCATGGTCCAGAGCACATTTCTCACTGCACTGGGTCCCCCCAGAGCCCGGGGTCACCCGATTTATCTCTGTCACCTGGTGCCTGCTCTCCCCCCATATACCCCGGCTGGTCTCCCCAGGATTGGTCGTCCCCGTCCCACCACCCTTGGCTACCTGCTCTCCTCCCCTGCCTTCTGCTGGGGCTGCTCCCCAGTGCCCGGCTCACGTGGCTCATGGACGCCTGACCCTGGCACTTCTCTGCCTTCCCACCAGATGTCTTCTTGCTGTCTTCCTGTGTGCTCCCACCGGGTGCTGGCATCTACCTACCCTCTTGTACCAAAATCCGAGGCTTGCTTTGTTAGTTGTACTGGAGATGAGACACCTTTCAGACTCCCCAAGTAACTAGTGGGCACGTGCTCTGTGGCCTTCTTCCTCGTCATCAGGAGGACATTCTCGGGGGAGAGGCGGCCACCATGTAACAGGAGTTCTGCTGTGTCCCAGGCGCAGGGCCAGGCTTAGGGCGGATATTATTTGGCAGATTTCCAGGGAAAAGTCTTGAGGCTCAGGGGCTGTAGGTGACCTGCCCAAGGTCACACACTAAGCGGTGAAGTTGGGGTTAGCGGGTTCCTGCTCGCCCATTCAGACTTTCTCCCTAGGTCCCTGGGATGTGTTCTTACAAACTCAATTTAAAAAAAAAAATTTTTTTCATTTAGACGATAATTTTTTAAAAAACTTTGTGTCCTATAAACACTGCCTTTTCGTGTAGAGACAATACATGTTTGAAAGACATTTTCCTGCAATGAGCTATGTAGGTGCTTCTGAAGTCTGTGTCTCAAACCTGGGTTCCCTAGAACCCAAGGAGTTGAACATTATTCTCTGGAACCTCAGGAACTCTTTCCTGAAAAGGAAATAGCACACATCTGGGTCTCCTGGGCCATCGTCGTTCCACTGCGTGAGCCTCTCCTGCTGATTAAGTGGGCAACTGGCCATTTCTCATAGGACACGCGCTGGCCCACCTGTAGCCCCTCTTCCCTCCCTCGCAGTGCATATGCCACAGCCCCCCTTCCTCCTCGCCTTCCCTCCTGCCCTCCTTTCTCTGCAGGCCCAAGCGTCCATGGGAGAACAGGTGGACGTACCCTGGGTGTTCCAGGCCCTTCTCTTTCCTGCCCCTGATGAGGCCCCCTGACAGGAGCCACGAGGAGGTCGCCAGCGCTTGTGCCTCCATCTCTGTGGCGCGCGCACCAGACTGCACCTCCCAGCCGGGGGACCTCATCACGGCAGTACAGCCCCTGACCCCCAAGTAGGCCTCTCCGCTTGGACGTCACACGGTCTGGGGAAGTGCCCTTCCCCCACCACGCACCCACTGGCTCCCTGCAGCCGTGGTCGGGAGGGGTTTCTCTGCACGGGGACTTGCTCTGGAGGCAGCCGGCCTCACGATAGGGGGCATTTCTATAGCCGTCTGACTTCCCCTCGTGCTGGGACCCCGGGCACCCATGCTCGAGTGTCTGAGCACAGAGACCCCGGTGTGTAGGGTCAGAACACCCGGCTCCTCCTCCCCGCTCGGGCCCCAGCCAGGCCCCAGCCAGGCTGGTGGCGTTCCAGAGAAGCTGTTTTACCAAAAGTGACAAAAAGACCCGGATTCTGGGCTGGGGGAGGGGCAGGGCTGTTGGAGGCCGCCACCTGGTTTCTGAAGAAGGGCGTCTGCTTCCCCGGGTTCCTCGTGGCCGTAGGTCTGGCTGTCGGTTCTGTGACTTCCCACGTGTCCTTTCTTTGCATTTAGGTAAAAAGTGTTCGGTTCTGTATCAAGATAGCTGTTTTGTTTTGTTCCCACTAATTTGTATTTGTAATTAATCCCATAACGTGGAACAGCCCATCACGCATGGTACAGGTCACCCACCACGCACGTCTTCACGGTTCCTCCCGATCTTTGTCCTTCGGGCTCTTTTCCGCGGCTTGTCACTGTGGTACGCACACGCTCTGCTTGTTTCCACTTGTCCCATGTGAAATCTTTCCCGTAGTCCAAAGCCATTTTCACACGCGCGACGGTTTGCCTTTGCCAAAGCTCCCCCACCTCACCCTGCGTGTGTCACGGGGACAGAAGGACAGGGTGCCAGCGGGGTGCGGGCCTTGTCCTTTTCTTCAACTGCTCCTCATTCGGTCAAGTCTCAGGTGGTGTCTTGCTCTGGGGTGATTTCTTGGGTGGTGGGAACGCCCAGCCCCGGGCTCACTGCTGTTCCCGTTTGGTCTTGCAGATCCGAAGGACATCGCCTGCTTCTCGTCCCTGGCGGCGGTAAGGACCCTCTCCACTACTTGTTTTTTTATTTTAGGATTTTCTTTATTAGAGAGCGAGAAAGAGAGCACAGCAGGGGGAGAAGCAGACTCCCCGCTGAGCAGGGAGACCCATGCAGGGCTCCATCCCAGGACCCTGGGATCATAACCTGAGCCGAAGGCAGAGTTACGGCTGAGCCCCCAGGAGATATGCTTTTCCCCTCCCTCATGCAGCGCTCTTTCTTGGGCTTCCAGACCCCATGCCCCACCACCCTAGCTGGCCCCGCGCAGAGGGCTTTGCTGGCCCCTCGCCTCTGCCAGACCTCCAGAGGTGCAAGCCCCCATCTGTGCCCTCCCCACCAGAGATCTGCACAGGCCCTGGTGGTCAGCGCCTCCCCCCAGCAGGGCCATCCCCTGAGGTCCACGGTCACACAGGCCCCTGCCCCCTGCCATCCCTGCAAGGGCCTCTGGTGGGCTCAGATGGGCCACAGCTAGGGTCATCTCCCCACTTCACCCCATGAACTTGCTGGGCTCCACATTCCCTGTGTCGGTCGGGGAAGTCCTGTCCTCGCTGTGGGCAGGCCAGATCCTCAGGAGTCCTAAACACGCGGGATGTCACCTCCACCGCTCTGGCCCGTGGCACCAGCGTCTCTCCTCAGGCTCCTAAAGTAATTCCCCTTTGCTCCTGCAAAAGCCATGCTTCACACCTCATCTGGAAGATTTTTTTTTTTTAAGATTTTATTTATTTATTTGACAGACAGAGATCACAAGCCGGCAGAGAGGCAGGCAGAGAGAGAGGAGCAGGTAGGCTCCCTGCTGAGCAGAGAGCCCGATGCGGGGCTCAATCCCAGGACTCTGAGACCATGAGACCATGAGACCATGACCTGAGCCGAAGGCAGAGGCTTTAACCCACTGAGCCACCCAGGCGCCCCAACCTCGGAAGATTTTTTTGAAGCAGGAGTCAGAGCGGGTCGCTGACTTGATTAATAGCCTCCCGTGGCTCCCCGTTTCCTCATCACCAGTCCCTCCCAGTGGCAGCCCCAGGGCAGGGTCTCTTCTTGGTCTCTGCCATGTGCCAAGGCTGGGGGAGCGGATGGCCAGAGAGTCCTGCTTCTGTCCATTTGTCAATATGTTGAGCTTTTGAGCACAGTTAATTTGAAAAGAAGGGTTCTGGTACCTTCCTAAGCAAATATAAAAACTCAGTTTTGAAAGTCACTGCCTTCAAACAACAGGCGATATTTTATAACATTTTAAAAGCCATTTTCCTTCCATGAGCATGGATTTCAGAGTTTACAGGGATCCGGGTTTCGTTGTGCTGAGAATTAACCCTTACAGCTGGCCCAGCAGCTCCAGTCCATGGTGCCCAGCCGAGGGAGGGGCCACATGCGTCTCCTGCACGCACTGACCCTGCCTTCTGTACCGTCTACTGACCTAGGGGGACCTTGGTTCCTCTCTCACCAGAGGAGAATGTCGCCCAGTATTGTTTCTACAGGCTTTTCCTTTCAGGGTCGTTTAAAAACATCAAAGCCGGGGCTCCTGGGTGGCTCAGCGGGTTAAAGCCTCTGCCTTCAGCTCAGGTCATGATCCCAGGGTCCTGGGATTGAGCCCCGCATTGGGCTCTCTGCTCAGCGGGGAGCCTGCTTCCCTCCTCTCTCTCTGCCTCTCTGCCTACTGTGATCTCCGTCTGTCAAATAAATAAATAAAATCTTAAAAAAAAAAAAAATCAAAGCCATGAGGGAAAGTGAAGTTGACACAATCAGCACCGTGACGTGTCCTCATACCCCAGTCCTCGATTATTGTTCCCGAGAGGATCCTCTTCTCACTTTCTTTTATCTGAGGGTCTAGAGCCCCCAGTTAGGCCTTTGTTTTATTTTATTTGTTTATTTGAGGGAGATTGGGAACAGGAGCACGAGGCTAGAGGGAGAGGGCGAGAGAGAGTCCCCCAGACGCCCAGCACGGAGCCCAACCCCGGACTGGATCCCGTGCCCCCCAGCTCGTGACCTGAGAGTTGGTCCCTCGACCGACTGAGCCCCCAGGCCCTTCAGCCCTGTGGTTTATTTTAACCCTGCGTCTTACTGGCCCTGCGCGACTGTTTTGAGAGGCTCGTGCGGAGCTTCCTACCCTGCAGTCAGATGCGGCGTCTGGCTGTTGCGTCCGTAACTGCTAAGTGTGCTTTTCTGTCCCCGCAGCCGAAGGGCTGTGAGAACGGCACGCACAGGTTCCGGCTGCAGAAGCAGATCTTCACTGACGACAAGAACAAGCTCCTGGTGAGTCGGACCAGCCTCCGCTGCTTTGCAGAGGTCAGAGCCCAGCCTCGGTGACAAACTTAGGTCTCGTATTTCTCCTGTAAGACCCGCATTTGCCTGTGCGGTTTCTTTGGGTAGCTGGCTGGACTTCAAGTCTGTCATCAGCCTGAAAGCAGCACACTCGTCCCACGACTGTGGGCCGCATTCAGTGTCCCAGGCACGCCCTAGGTCAGGCTGCCCCTGGAGCGTCAGCCACGGGGTCCCCCCGTCCTGTGGACTCCCAGTCTGGGGGGCAGGTGTGGGGTACAGACGGGAAGCCAGCAGGTTCCCGCAGCAGCTGAATGCCAGGCACGGAGCCCGGGGGGTGGGGCGCAAGCAGGCGCTGGTTCCAGCCCAGTCTTGGGAGCCATCCCTAAGCAGGGGGCATGGATAGGGCTTTGAAGGAGGGTGGGTCAGCACCGACCTGGGCCAGAGGGGTTCAGGAGATGGACAGGGAGGGCTGGGAATGGGACGTGGGCCCAAGAGGTAATGAAGAGAGTCATGTCCCAGGCCTCCACCCTGACACTCCCATGTTCCAGAAGGGGAAACTGAGGCAGAGTGCTCCGGGACCTGCCCAGTCCTGCTCAGAAAGGAGGCCTGGAGGCAGCGCGATGGGCCCCTTGGCTTTCAGCATCCTTCCGACCAGTCCTTCCTGGGGCTCTGCCGCACAGCTCTGAGCACGGGGACACCTCAGACTCGGTTTTACACACTGAAATAACAAGCTCTTTTCTTTTTAAATCAAACACCTTAAAGGATAAATGTACCAAATGGGCTTCTTAATTTTTTTTTCTTTACTGCCTACAAAAACTTATTTGTGGTTGTTGAAATAACAGGAAAGAGAAAAATGATGTCTTGTACCTCTTGGTTCTTGGAATTTAGGGAAATTCAACTGCAGTGCTCTAATCTCTCTACTCAATGCTCAGTGTGCATTTGAAAAAATTGGGTGTCTTAGTTTGGGCTGTTGTAACAAGAATACCATAGACCGTGCGACGTAAACAACACACATGTCCTTCTGGAGGCAGGAAGTCCCAGATCTAGGCACGGGCGGGTGTGGGGTCTGGCGAGGCCCACTTCCCGGCCGGCCGCCTTCTCCTAGGACGCTGGAGAGAGCAAGGGGGACACAAACTCTGGGGGCCTCTTCTTACAAGGCATGAACCCTGTCCTGAGGGCTCCGCCCACCACAGTGGGGCTCGGGGCTCCACTCAGGAGCCTCAGAGGGACACATGTACCAGGTCCACGACATCCGGTGTTAATCGATGTCTTGACGGCTGTAAGTCCTGCTCGTTACTGAACACTAACCTTCTCCTTGAGGCGAGCCCGTGTTGCGGCGCTATAATGACCAGTAAAACCGGATGCGTCTTCTGGTATCAATTCCCTCTTCCCTTTCCGGCTCCTGCTGCCAAAGTCTGTTGACTAATTTGTCACCGAGGGGCCTGGGCAGGCCTTGTTTCTTCCGGTCTGGCCATACCACAGGCCGACCCTGTCGTGCCCACGACCACGCAGGTTTTGGTCCCTTGCCTCTTACACGGCAGGAAGGGCTAAGGTGCTGGAGGGGGTTGGACCCCATGGGGGTCACCAGCCAGGATGCCCCCCAAGCTCGGCTGGACACCCTGGTGTCCCCTTTCCCAGAATGACCGGCTCAGATCCCCTGGGCTCAGAGTTATGCGTCACCCACCCCCTCATCACCGCCGCTCTGTGCCCGGTGGGATGCTGACTGCCTTCCTGACAGCTTGTGTGAGGAAAGGGGCCGGTGCGGAAGCAAGGACAAGCAAAGAGGAATGGGCTCCGGCGTCACGGAGCCAGGAGGACCGTCTTCCCTCCTTCGGGTCTTTATGATTACCTTGTGGTGGTCAAAATTTTCACCTTGTAGTCACGTGTCATTGCCCAGCCTTGGCTTCTCTGAGGATCCTTCTGATCGGCTGTGGCTCAGTGGACACTTCCGAGCATCAAGTGGGTGTCTCAGTGCTAAAGGTGCCTTCCACGTGGCACGGCAGTGGAGCCACGAATCTGGGGGGTGCCCTCCCGGCACAGTGTGGCTGCGGGCCCCTCCAGGCATGGCGTGGGCTTCTCACTTGAACATCAGCATGTTATTACACGCTTCCCCAATCCCCGCCGTGTGCATGTCTCTGTGTGTGTGTGTTTTAATCTTGGGGAGCCCCGTTGGTCTCTGATTCCGAAACCTGGGAGTGGGGCTCCCTGGCCGAAGCGGCCCTGCCCACTGCCGAGGGCGCCACAGGTGCCGTGAGACCCTGCAGGGCCCTTGGTGCACAGCTTCCCATGTCCTGGTCGGCCCAGGGGGCCTCTGGCTCTGTAAGGAGGCAACTCTGCACCCCTGGTTTAGTTTGGAAAACCCACCGTGACTTCCCAGGTCCCCTCTGCACCCTCCAGACACTGCAGAGGACTGGAATTTGGTAGCTGGGGCCCTTAACAGCAAAGGCCGAGCTTGCTTAGATAAAGACCAGAAGTGCTGGATCTGGGGCTTTCCACCAGCCCGACGAGTGGCCCAGAAGTGCTTTCCAGAACCGGGAAGGGGCAGGCGGGTCTCAGCGTGCAGTGCCTGCTCTGGGCTAGAGGCGCTCTTCAGTTAGCTGGGCAGGAGCTCTTCACTGTCTGTCCTGTGCTGTCCGGTTGCATGCCGTCCCCTGGAGAGCCTGCTCAGTGTTCACGAGCACCTGTCCTAGCCTGAAACCACAGAAACCCCAGAGCAGAGCGCTGGCAGTAGCATCTCTGCCATCGGCCCTGACAGCGTCTTTCAGATACGTCTCGGAGGCAAGGGAAATAAAACCAGAAACCATGTCGGGGTCTCTCACAATCAGCTTCCGCACAGTGAAGGAAAGAAAACGAACAGGAGAAGAGACTCGCAAATGACAAATCTGATAAAGGGTGAGTCTGCAAAACCCGTGAAGAACTTGGCTCAACACCACAAAACATACAGTCCTGGCGAGAACAGGCAGAAGACGTGAACGACATTTCTCCAAAGAAGACACCCAGACGGCCAACAGACACACTCGTCATCGGGGAAATGCAAATCCAGACCCCCTGAGATCCCACCTCACGCCCGCCAGGATGACGATCAACAACACGAGAAACGACAGGTGCTGGCGAGGATGCGGAGGAAGGGGAGCCCCACGCGCTACTGCTGGAAATGCAAGCTGGCATGGCCGCTCTGGAACACAGGGTGGAGGGTCCTCACAGTTACAAATTGAACGACCCTGGGACCCAGCAAGCGCACTTCTAGGTATTTACCCAAAAAATACGAAAACACTAATTCAAAGGATACAGGCCTCCCGTGTTTACAGCAGCATTATCTACAGTAGCCAAGATACGGAAGCAGCCAAGTGTCCACTGACTGATGGATGGGGAAGGGAGAAGTAAGGGGAGTGTGTGTGTGTGTGCGTGCGTGTGCACGCACGTGTGTAGGAATATTACTCAGCCATAAAAAGAATGAAATTTCCCTGTTTGCCCCAACATGGATGGAGCTAGAGGGTATTATGCTGAGCAAAACAGAGAAAGACAAATACCATATGATCTCACTCATGTGGAATTAGAGAAGCAAAGGGGAGGAAAAGACAAACCAAGAAAGAGATTCTTAACTCTGGAGAACACACAGATGGGCCCCAGAGGGGAGGTCGACCGGGCAATGGGGGAAGGGGGTAGGGATGAAGGAGGGCCCCTGTGGTGGTGAGCACCGGGGTCACATGGCAGTGATGAACCACTGTGTTGTATACCTGAAACTGTAGGCAACTGTACGGGAATTAAAAAGCACCTCATTGAAATAGTATAGTGACTGTATTGATAGCTACACATGGGTACCAGTTCGACTGGAAGTAATGAATCTGAAAGTGGTTTTTCCTGTAATTGGTCTGGAAGTCTTTATTTTTTCCTATAGTTCATACATTTCCTAATTTAGACTCTTCATTTGCAAGTTTGCTAGAATAACATCTTTTATTCAGTGAAGCAATTTAGTAAGATTTGTAGAATTTCATGGGTGTGGGGACAGTACTCATGAAACCGGTGAAACCACACATTGTTGACTGGTTTCTGTTGGATCATAATTCATACCTTAAAATTCTTCAAAACAAAACGAAACCTGTGCTGCGATTTCAGCCTTGACCGCACACCACACTGACCTGGAGCCTGTCCCCCGAGATGGCTGTGACCAGCCCGGGGTGTGGCCGGAGCACCAGGCTCCCTCACAGCCCCCGAGGTGGCCGTGTTTCACTGTGATTCACAACCATCAGCTTGGTCTTCTGAGCAGAACCGCTAACAGCGGCATTCTAGAGAGAGAAGTTTCTTTACTGCAGACTTCGATCCTGGTTCTCTGTTTCCGTGTGCTGTTACGGAGTTGTCGTTAGGAGGATGGGCTGACCCACTGGGGGTTGTCATCCTCTCTCAGAAACATCCGCTCATATGCTTAAATGTGAGTGTGTCCCCATCACTGGGCCGCGTCGTGGTCGGACGCCCGCTTCTCGGTGTTGGGGGCCTTGGGTCACCTTCTTTCCAGTGTGCCAATTTCTGCTCTTCCGTGGAAGGGAAGTGTAAATATCGCGAGAGGACCATGACAACGCATTATCTCTTTCTTCTTTCCTGATTTAAGTACAACTTGAAACTTACCTAGGTTGTAGTGAGATAAATACAGTAAAACTGTTTGACTTTGTGGAAAGCGTGAGATGCACAGAAACATTTCTTTGTAAGTCTTGGACCTTTGTGGTTCACTCACAAAGAACATCTTTAGATCATCCTAGCTCGACTTGACCCCCAGCCCCAAACTGGGGAGCGCTGTGCTTTGCTTTAATGAAGGCAAACTTTGCCCTCCAGGACTGTCCAGGATTGGAACTCACAGAATATTGGAAGTGCTTTATGAATTTTAAAATAATGTTATTTCTGGTCACAGGTGTCCGTTGTGAACTCCTTAGTAAATACAGGGCCATGTAAAGAATTTATTGACCTTTCCCATAATTCTATCATTCCATGATAACCATTGTCAATTTGGAATTCAGCTGCTTTTTTCCCCTATAATTAGATAGATCCCTCTAGTTACCTAGACACGTAATAGGCATATACTGAATGTTTTTTAAGATCATAATGAAAAATGAAGTTTTGACTTTTATTATTTAATGGGACATAAACGTTAAAATCTCACCAGCTTTTTCCTTCCTTCCTTCCGTCCTTCCCAACCGTAAAGAGATATGTCCTTTACATGGACGCCGTTGACCAATGTTCAGTTTATGGTGTTTTCCCAACTTTCAAATGGTTTTTCACAAATAGAGTCCTGCATTGCTGGGTGGAAGGATTTTGCGTGCTTTTAGTTGTTTCCCGGAGATACGCGGGCGCTCGGGACCGTAAGGTGAAGACGTGGTGAGCAGCTCAGCCCCGCGTGGCCCCACGACCTAGCGAAACAGCGTCCTGCTCAGGACTGGCCTTGCTCAGCCAGGTGGTGCCCTGCTGACAGCTTTTCTTCTCTCTTTCCTTCCCGATGGGATTCGCCTCCAGGACCCCGAGCTGCAGTGCTTGCTGCCGTCCGACGGGAAGCACCCCGTCCATCAGAGCCATGTTGTGGTCCTCCCAGCCGACAGCGGGGGCAGCATGGCTGCCATCAGCTTCACCGGGGCCTTGAGGATCCCGGTGAGTACCAGCGCCCTGGAGGCGTTTCAGAAAGGGGCATTTGTGCCTACGGTTGACGATCAAGCTTAACAGCAGAAATCCATGGTCACATAATCCGTGAACTCTTGGGCATCGACCCGAGGTTGCCAGCAGGCCGCAGTGTTTGCCTCACACTAAGCTTTCAGTTTTTCAAAATCAGTTGCCTCCGTGTAGAAGTTCACCCGTTTCACAGACAAACAGGGCTTCCCCTCTCCACTTGGGAAGCCAGAAGGTCTGGCTCTAGCAAGCCCCTCATCCCGTGGCCCAGCCCCTCACCAGTGCTCCCCTCCCTGGTCCATGAAGACCCTTAGTGTGGAGCCCTTGGGAGGCATGTCCCCGAGTCCTGCTGTGGGGTGTGGGTGAGCCCACTCGATTTTCTTTACCCTTTAAAGTGCTTTTAGGAGACCAGAGCTGGTGCATTGCCGCCGCACATGCTAAGGGAATAAATAAGGGGCGGGGGGTGTACAGAGCCATGGGAAGAGACAGAAGCCCTCGGCCACACACGCTGATGGTCCTGGGACTCTGCTCTCATCCATCATTTAAAGATCAGGTGCTGGTCTGGGTGAGGCGGCGGGCTGGCTCCAGGCTGGTGGGCACGCTGGTGTGTGGTCAGTGTGTGAAGGAGGTCCAGGGAGAGGCTTTTCTGCCCAGGGCATGGAGCTGTGGTGAGATTTCTTGTTGCTTTGGGTTTTTCTTGTCTGAAATCCATGGGCTCCTTCAGCAGAGCATCTGGGGGACCCACAAAGGACACGTGGGAAATGTGTTCTAACATGGCGAGGCACTGCAGGCGATGAAGGCAGAGCCCAGGGCAGAAGCATGCAGAGGGGGAGATGCCCATGTCAGACACTGCCCATGTCAGGGAGGATATCCAGACCCGTGCGGTGGCCAGGCCTGTGGACCGCACCTAGAACCATCTGGACTCCCGCCTGAGGGTGTGACAGGCAGAGGAGTTCCTGCAGGTCTCCCACACAGACGAGACAGCCTCGCCAGCGCGGCCCTCGGCGAGGAAAGGCTGAGGGAGCACAAGCCCAGAGGCCCCTCAGCGACCGGGTGAGGCAGGAAGCATAAACGATGCACCCGGGACCTGAGAATCCGGTCATCGAAGTGAAAGAACTTCGGAGAACGTGTGCTTGAGAGCAGAAAGTCCTGGCTGCACCAGACGACGCTGGGGGCTGGCCAGCGGGGAGCGTGGAAGGCCCGGCCAGGGCTCCCGCAGCCACTGAGAATGTGGGTCGGCTGCTTTTAAATAGAAAGTCGCCTTTCCCGTGTGATGGTTAGTAACAGCTAGTAACTTGCCGACCGGGGCCTTCCTGTGCGGCTGCTCGGCCAGGGTCAGGACACGCCCAGTTACAGAGCGAAGGAGGCACCGTGGCCCGGTCCGGCCACGGACGTGCTGGGTGTCCCAGGCAAGTGTGTCACCCACGCTGAGCCTCCGTCTCCTCGTCTGCAATGGGGCTCAGGGCCTGGCGTTATACTTAATGTTCCGAGGATTAAACGAAGTCACTCAGGGCAGTAGTGAGGCCACGCAGGGCGTGTGGTCTGCGCCATCAGCCCCGCACGCATCCTCAGACGGGGCTTGCCACTGTGAAGCTCAAACTCAGATAATTTCACAATCACAGAGATTGAGGTCTGTGTTCTCTGCCTGGTTTGGTTCCTGTGCGCACACAACGTGACACCTTAGCGTTACCCCGTGTCTCACCCAGACCTCCCAGAGACGTCTGGAACGCGTGTGTCGCGATGCCACGCCTTCCCAAGAGTAGAGCTCAAGCAGAACACAGACAGGACTCTCACAGCAGCCGTCAGACTGTGGGCCCTGGGGTCCTCATCCAGACCCACATTTCTCTTCCCAGGGTCTTCCCCGAGCCCCCGCTTCGCAGGGTGCAGGTGCCAGCAGGCATGCGTGCTGTGACCGGTGGGAAGCCCTGTCCTGTGTGTGTGTCGGCCGCTGCGTCGTTTGCAGGGTTTCCAGCAAAAGGAGGGAGAGCACCGCGGCACCGTGTCGAGGTGGCCCTTCCAGGCACGCTCTTGGAGGACTCCTTCAACAGCTGAGTTTCCAGAGCAATGTGGTGTAGGAATCAGGTCAACACGTGCTTTCATGGACTCTGATCTGACATCAAGAAATTGGGTCTCAATCTGCAAAGACAGGCAGGGGTGGCCAGAGTGGCCATGGGCGGGTCCTCCACCCCACACCCCCGGCCACCACCACCCCAGTCCTCAGGCGGGACCCAGCCCCGAGGATGCCGGCTCCCCTCTCCCGGCAGCGTCGGCAGGTGCCCCACCAGACGGAGATGGCGGCTGTTTTCACAGGAGTGAAGTAACTAGAATTGTGTTGCATGTTTCCACAAACCTGCTGTGTACTCGCTCGGGGTGAAGACCGGCTCTCTCCGTTTCAGGGTGTGATCGAGTTCTCTCTGTGCTTGCTGTTCGCGAAGTTGGTCAGCTATACGTTCCTCTTCTGGCTTCCTCTGTACATCACAAACGTGGGTGAGTATCCGTTGCTGGAAACACCGATGCTACGTTCCTGCCGGGGCTGTGATCCAGACGCCCTTTTAGGTCCGATTTCTAGAGTCTCGTGAGACGTACTTTTGATCAACAGTGTGGTTAGTAGAAAAGTAGAGGCCAGAAGAGAATTTGGATACGGAAGCCATAATAACCATGATGGGGCTTAAGGGGCCCCTCTTCCATCCCAGCTGTGGCTGCTGGCGCCGTGGGGCCCTTCTATCTGGGGCAGCCCACATTTCAATCTAGGCTACACCGAACGTCAGGTCACACCCTCCCACGTGCAGGGGAGGCCCCTGGGAGTGGAGATAATAAATGCTGAGTCACCTGACCTGGAAAGTGCTCCTTGGAGAGGAGCTCTAGTTCTGGGGACAGCTGGCAGCCTGTCTCACGTTTCCTCAGTCCGGCCGCAGCTGAAGCTGCAGATAGGACAGAAGGCACCAGCCTGTGGGCTCCACGCGCCCCTCTGCTGTGTGCGACCACGGAGGGAAGTCAGGGGCCATCGGCAGTTCCTAAAAGATGCTTCAGTCCAGGGGCTGCAGTCACGGCTGAATCGGGGCGGGGCCAGGCAGGGAGGGCCCTGGAGCCTCCAGGCTGGGAACTGGGGGTTGCAGGGAGAAAGGAAAGAAAGCAGGGCCCCCTGGAAATGTGGGTTCTGGGAAGGTGACAGTGAGGGGAGATCTGGAACGTGGGGCTTCGCAGAGCACAAAACCACTGACGGGGAGGAAGCCCTTCCTCTGCCCTATGGTCCTTCTGGCCGGACTTAGAATCAAATGCCACGCGTCAGGTGCCCGGAGAAAGTCACAGTTGAGAGCGCGTGTATCAGACGTCCTCACCAACGGGGGCAGTTCAGAGACAGTGAGGCCCCACGAAGCTTACGTGGGCACAGGAGTGGCGTTGGGTCTGGGGGCCCAGGGGGACGGAAGCGCATTGGCAGGCAGGTGAGAGGAGAGGTTTGGAAAACTCCCTTACACAGATCAGTTCTGAAGTAAAGGGGCGTCTTTGGTAATAGCTCCCTTCCTGGGGCAGGCTCTCCTTCCCCCCGTAAATCTCAGTGGCTGTGGGGAGGCAGAGAGCTTTTCCTGAATCTGCTGCGTTTTAATTACTTTAACTCAAAGTAAATCTTTTTAGATATTTATTGATTTAGAGAGAATGCAGGATGGGGGAGGGAGGGAGAGAACCTCAAGCAGAGCCCGCACTGAGCTCAGAGCCTGACACAGGGCTCGATCTCACAACTCCTGAGATCACGACCTGAGCTGAAAGCAAGAGTTGTACGCTTAACCGGCTGAGCCACCAGGCGCCCCTTTAACTCAAAATGACCTTCATGCCAAAGAGGCCCGTGTTGGGGGATCCTGCCCTGGGCCCCAACACCATGGATTCCCAACGGTTGTAAGGACCAGCAGGGGTGGCCGTGGGCCCGAGGCAGGAGGGCCGGGTTTCCCAGGGACAGCAGTTGAGGCAGTAAAGGGACTGCCCACAGGAGCGGGGACGGTGAGGAGCTGCACCCTGTCAGGTGACTCCAGGAGGGCGGGCAAGCCCCGTGCAGTGTAGACAGGCGTCCTACTTCTTTCTTCCCTTGTTCGCTGTGACCGCGGAAGGGGTGACATTTTCAGGACTCTAGTCAGACGTTGCCAGCTTTTCCAGACCCAGTGATTAAAAAAGCCAAGTCTCTTATATGTGGCACTGAGGACACCAGGAAAGGCTGGGCTCGATCCCAAATGCTTTCCCCACCCGCTTCTGCTACTCGGGCCAACCTGAGCGCTCTGGGGAGCCCCGCGTGGCTTCCTCCGCTGCTGTACATGGAGCTCCAGTCCCTCCAGACCTAAAGCCTTCAGGTCAGCCGGCCAGTGCCCGTGGCACTCCTCTCTGTGCCACATGGTTCTTACCGCCTTCTCTGCTGCGTCCCACACTATGGCCTCCCCTGGGGGACTCCACACCAGAGGGATGGTAATCTGGCTGAGCTGGGCGAATCCTCATTTCTTGGTAAAGAGCCGCGTTCATCTTTCCTGCGAGTCTACCGACGTTGCGGGCTGCGGGGTCAACTCCCAGCTGCTCTCGGTGTGAGTCACCCTGGGGAAACCAGAGGGTGCCACGTGGGGTCTTCCTTGGCTGTGACTTGCTCACAGACACATGTCATTTTCTCAGATCACCTGGACGCCCGACAAGCCGGGGAGCTCTCCACCCTGTTTGATGTGGGCGGGATTTTTGGTGAGTCCTTCCGCCCTCTTGTCCTTGGCCGCAAACTTGGGGGGGCGGTAAGTGAACATCTGGGCCCATGTTCTCGCCGAGCTGACTTACTATCTGGAGGAACGCGTGTTCCCCAAAACGTCACATCACCTGAGTGGACGTATGGCCGTCCCTCTGGGGGACGGTCCCCTGTCCCACATCTGACTCAGGGCCCAGAGTGGTGCTCCCTGGGGAGCAGGGGCCCGCCTCGAGGTAGGCGGCCAGCTGGCGTATTAGCGCCCTCGCGGTGAAGGGGCTTCGCGGCCAGCCTGGACCCAGACTCCAGACTTGCCCTCTGTCTCCCTGGGAGATGCCCCCGGGTTGCCCCCATCTGCCCACAACCCCACGGGGCCTGTTCACTGGGATGGCCCCTTGCTAACGGTGAACGTGGCCGGGGATGTGGAGGAGGACATGGTTCCCTTATTGCTGCTGTCCTGTACCCTCCGCATCCTCTTGCCCTGGGGACCCGGGCCGCTCCGGGCCTCACCTCTCTGTGTTGCAGGTGGGATCTTGGCAGGTGTGATCTCAGACAGACTAGAGAAAAGGGCATCCACCTGTGGCCTGATGCTGCTGCTGGCGGCCCCGACGGTGAGCCTGGGCCCCCCCACCACACCCCTGACCTGCCTGGGCCCCGAGCCTCCAGAAGCAGCCACCCTCCCTGCCAGCAAACGCTGTCACGTCCTGCCCAGCCTCAGCCCCATTCGTGGCTTGTTGTTTCTGGACACAGACTCTAGCCTCCGAGCCCCTTAGCATGCCCCACAGGCCTGCCGGGCTCCCTCCCCCAGGTGCTTCCCGTGGCCACTTCCCGTGGCAGGGGGCAAGTGGCCAGCCCAGCTCTTCATTCATCCCTGGCTCCCTGGGGGCCATTCCTCCCCGCCCCTCTCCTCTCCCCCACAGGCTCCTGCTCAGCCTCTGGGATGCCCCACCTCCCTGACCCTGCCCCACTGTCGTGCTGGATTCTGCTTTTCATGCATTTGGTGGCACACGACCCTGGGCAGGTGACCTTCCCTTTCTGGGCCTATTGCCTTGTCTGAGAAATGAGGGTGCCGGTAGCACCCCGTCCCAGAGGCAATGCGAGGGTCTCTAAGTCAGTACCGTTTTCCACTCGTAATTTCAGGCATAATGCCGTCACCCATCAGCTTGCTCTGTAAGCGTCTGCGCGTCTGCCACTCTGGCAGGCCGTGTCCCCAGGACAAGGCCCAGCTTGGGGTCTGGGACGCTGCCCCACACAGATCCTCTGAGGGCCTTTACTGGGGAAATACGTGTGGCCCCCGCCGCAGGACCCCTTCAGCGCTGCAGCTGTTCGGGGGGCAGGGGACAGCGTGAGGAGGGGACAGTGGCACGGAGCCCAGGGAGAGCTGCCCAGGGAGCTGAGAGCGGGAGGCGCCGTCGGAACCCGTGCAGGGGCTGAGCCTGGGGACTCCCGCGGGCCGCCCAAGGATCCCCGCCTGGCTTTTTAGAGAGACGGGCTCCGGGGCGGTGTTCGGCCGCCTCTGGTAACCCGCGGTTCCCCTGTGTTCCTGCCCTTGCCAGCTCTACACGTTCTCCACCATCAGCAAAATGGGCCTGGAAGCCACTGTCGGTGAGTCCGTGCGGCTTTTCTCCTTGCGCGGTCAGGTTCCGTCCACGCAGCTCACGGAGACAAAGCGGACAGCACGGAGGCATTTGGCTGGGTGGGCTGGAGCGCTGGTGTGGCCGCAGCAGGCCCGTGTCCCTCTCCTGGCGGGACACCTGCTCCCAGAGGGAGGCCTGCCCGTCCGCGGGTCAGAGCGCGGCTGTGGGAGAGCACAGGCTGCTGCGCCGGGGCCGCGGGGAGCCCCCCAGAAGACGGCAGGCAGGGCTGTGGGGAGCGGGCCGGAGCCGGGCAGGGCACAGCCTCCCAGCTGGCTTCCGTCAGCGGCCGTTCTGAGAGCAGTGCCGGCCAAGGGGCGCTCTTCTTAGCTTCCCCCTGATGATGCCTCTGGCAGCTGGTAAATATTTCTTCTGTCGTAACAAGCTGGCAGCAGGGACTGGAAAGGAAGCAGCCTGTGTGTGATCCCATTAGAAGTCTCCAGAAGGCAGGTCGCTGACACGTGGGGCCGTGGGGTTCCCCATGACCCACTGGTCCAGAGGCTTCTGCCTAGAGTGTGAACCAGAGGCTTGAGAAAGTGAGCCTGGGGGGTGGCGTAGACGCATGTGTTCAGAACCAAGTGTGTTATCCTGCCCTCAGGAGCTCAGCTGCACTGGGTCTCCATGTTCCCCTCGGGGACTGCCACCAGCGGCTGTGGGCGCTGAGAGAGAGACAGCCCTTTTCACTGCAGAGAAGGCCATGGCTGGAGTTAGCACACCGCTGGCACTGATGACAGGGAGCCCTGGCACAACCAGGGCAAGTCATGCTTGGGACACGAGGGTTCTGCTTGCTCCTGGGGGGTCCCGAGCTGTCCCTATTGAGGGTCGAGGACACAGGAGTACCAGGTCCTCCGGACACAGCCGGAGCCTTTGGGGGAGCGTGAGAAGACCTACAGACCTCCGTGGGCAGGGTTGAAGGCAGATGCCCACCACGCTTGGCCCAGCGTGTCCACTTCCCAGACGCACGGGCCGCCTTCCCAGCACCCGCCTGCCTTCCACTCAGGCCGGCCCCGCCTGACACTGGGCTGCTCACCCCAGGGCAGCTGAGGCTGGGGAGGCTCTCCCAGAGGGCACTGCTTTGCTCCTAAATGCCTCCTCTGCTTTCTGGTTTCCCACAGCCATGCTGCTCCTGAGTGGGGCCCTGGTCAGCGGGCCGTACGCCCTGATCACGACCGCCGTCTCCGCCGACCTGGTGAGTGGCCACACGGCTGAGCACAGAGCAGAGGCAGGAGCCCGTCCTTGCTGTCCTTCTTGACAGAGACAGTCACTCTCAGTAAAACTGTGTCTCGATAGAAGCAGTTTTTCTCTGGGTTTTTCTCCGTGCTTGTAAGTCTCTTCTGAAGCAAATGCAGGGAGATGCTGCCCCCGGTCCATCCCAGCAGAGCTGAAGGGGCTCGTGTGAGGCCCGAGGTCAGAATCCAGCTCGCTGGCCCCCTCCTCTGTGCTGCCCTTGCTTAACCCGGGGGCTGGTGACCCTGCGCCCCGGAGGCCGGCCACGGGGCCCCAGATCAGAGACCCGGTGGGGTCGGCTCCCCCTTCACCCGGCCCCTGCTGTGCCTGGCCGGCCCTCTGCTGGTCTGCCCTGGGATCCGGAGGAACTGCCGCCCCCACTCCTCCCAGAGGAAGAGGGTGCTAACAAGGTGACCTAGGACTAGCGATCAGGAGAGCCCGGCCCCGTGCTCTGGGACCCCGGGGAGGCAGGACCACCGTCATCCACCCGAACAGATGGACGTTTCACGCAGTCGTCAGGTGCCCCCACCTGTAGGGAACGCCACACCAAGATACAAAATGCCCTTTAAAAAGCTGTTTCCCTAAATAAACGGGAGAAAAGAAACAAATGCCCCATAGAGAAGACTTTACTGGGTGCTCTGTCCTCAGGGAGGGGGGCACGCTTCGCTGCCCTTAGGTGTGGGCTGCACACAGCGACTTCCTCCCAGCGCAGGGGAAACCATGTAGCTACGGGGAGACCTGACAGACCCTCCCCCCCACCAGGGGACCAAGGTCAGCACTGGCAATGACAGGGTGTGACAGCCTGCGCCCTGGGCATGTGCCGTGAGGGTGGCACCTCCCCTCTGTGGCCTCCGTCCCCAGACCCACCACCCAGCATCCCGGCAGAGGGGCATTCCGCTCGCGACGGCGTCCGAGAGAGGGCAAGTGTCAGACGCCGTCAGGAGGCATGATGGCGGAACGTCGTGCGGTGTCCTGGACAGAAGGACGTCAAAGTAACCTTTAGCTAAAAGCCCGCCTGTTAGGTGATCCTGGCGCACGGGCGTCGGGACCTTTGCCGCAGCAGCTGGGACGCGGGAAAGTGGGTACAGGGCACGTACACCCCGTGTGCGATCTGGGCCACATGTCCGCGCACCTGAGACTGCTCTAAAAGTAAAAGCTCATTTAAATTCATAAGCAGGTCCCCAGAGCTGGTTCGTCGTCGGGTGGGCAGGACGGCCGGCCTCCTCGGGCCCCTGGCCTGGCATCCCGCCCCCCATCGGGCCTCCGAGGCCCCTGGAACTTCTCTGCCCCCTGCCCCAGGGACACACCTCTCTCAAGTCCTTCTAGAATCAGACCCCGAACTTCCCGGCCACTCACTCATTCTCCTACTTGGCAACCCAGGCACCTGCGGACCCCGCACCTGCCCCCACCCCTCCTCCGGGGCCAGGCGTCTGCCCGACACTGCGCCCTGCTCAGTGGCTCCTGCCCGTCCTCCCCGCCCCAGACGAGCAGAGGCCCTGCTGTGCCGGGTCAGCAGAGAGAAGCAGAGGAGGGGCACGGGGGAGTCCAGCAGCAGGCCCCCCTTTGTGCTGAGGGTGTACCCATGCTCCTGCCTGCACGGGGCACACAGAACATTCTGGAAGGGTCCACACCAGACCACTAACAGTCGTCTGCCCCATGGGATCAGAGGACAGAAGAGGGACTCCCAACTCCAGAAAATGTGGATTATAGCCAGTTATCGCTTCCTGTAGGTGCTTTGTTTTGTATACTTCTGTGGGCACACACACAAGCACCTGTAGTTACCGCCTCGGGTTTGTGTGTGTAGTTTAGGCATCTGGGCACTATTTCTCCCAATTAATTTTTCTTCCTTTATCGTCCTCAGTTGGTGCTTCTTTCTCCCATCTCTCCGTCTTGCTTTCTGAAACCCAGAGCTCCTATGGGTCTGTCATTTAGGATTGGGTGACTCCCCACATTGGCTTCTTGGGTCCTGCCTGCCTCACACCTTCCTGGGCATTTGCTGAGAACCGGGTGGGCGTTTAGGTGGTACAGAGCCATCCCGCACATGTCACAGAAAGCCCCTCACAGGAACGGGGAAGTGGGCGTTAGAGCTGGCGTAGCTCAGGACAGGGATGAGTGGCGTCCGTGTGTCTGTCTTCCACATTGGCTGGTGGGGTGTGCTGAGGAAATATTTGCTTAAGGAAAAATTCTGAGAGCCCTTTCAACCAGAATATGTTTGGACAGAGATGTCTGATGAGGTTTTACTGTTGAAAACCCTTAAACTTCGTGTATCTTTCCAAAGTAAGTTGGAATAGAGTTTAAATTTTCTGACGGAAAAACACCCCACGTTTTGAACTGCTTTGCCAAGTTCAGGCAAATTGCTGTAAGAAGGTGCGGGCTCGTTTCTCGCTGAGGCTGCTGGGATGTACCTCACATTTGCTGTCCCCTCTCTCCTAGGGCACACACAAAAGTCTCAAGGGAAACTCGCATGCCCTCGCCACTGTGACTGCCATCATCGACGGGACTGGCTCTGTAGGTGCGTGGGTGTTTTTAGCTCTAAGAGTTCATCGTGGTCATGGGGGAACCACACTGTCCACCTTGTCACATCCCAATTAACCAGATGCCAAGGATTCCAGATGTTTTGGTAATATTAGGATGGGCTGGCCTTTTTTTTTAACTGCATGTAACAGTCTTTACACTATTGTTATAATGTTGATTCTAAAAGAAAGTTGATTATTGGGGCACCTGGCTGGCTCTATCGGTAGAACATGCCACTTTTGATCTCAGGGTTGTGAGTTCAAGTCCAACATTGGGCATAAACTTTACTATAAAAACAAATAAATAAAATTCAAAAAAAGAGATTATTTTTCCAGAATCAGAGATTATTTTTAGTTTGATGGTATCATCGTGCTAGTAAAAGTATCTTTTTTTGTCTACAAATGAGTGGAACTCCGTAATTTAAAAACACAAAGGCTGATATGGGATTTGGGCATCAGAGTCTTACAAATGGCAGAGTCCAGAAGAGAGCGGTGTGACATGACGGTTCTCTGTGACATGATGGTTCTCTCTCTAGAGCCTGAAGGAAAACGTCAGCAAAGACTTACAAGAGGTCCCCTTTCTTAGCTGATTTGACAGAGGGAACTTAATTCAAAATTTAATCCTGATACACAATATGTGTATAAAATATAACTTGGCAAAATGGGAAATCTCTCTCAGGTCATAAATGTGGTGCTCACATGTGCTCGATAATTTACTAATAATTTCTATGAATGGAAAAATATAGGACTCAGAGTTACTTAAAGTTCAGTTAGTCTTTCAGCCGAGTTGCTAATTCACGTTAATAATTTATGATAAAAACCAGCCAAGGGAAATTTGATGAATGCCATTGCCACAGAGCTCAGATAATTGTTATCGACAAGTTTAGATAATGAAAAAAGGAGGTCTTAACAGTTGTTACTGTGAAAAACCGATGTTTGCTAGGACCAAACCATGGCACGCACACAGACGGTAGGAGTGCGCAGCATGGGGGGAGGACCGTGGGTGGGAGGGAGAGGACACGGTCCCCATGTTCGGCCTTTTACAAACTTGAACAGATCCGAAGTGTGCGCAGATCTGGGGGCCGTGGGCGTGGAGGCGCGTGTCCGCGGGTCGCTGGCTGCAGAGGGAGGACGGGCCCGGCACTGGCTGCGAGTACTTTCCCTCCGTGTGAAAGAACCCGTGCTCAGGTTTTCACCAAAGTCAGCCGCTGGCAAAGGGGGCTGCGGGCCGCTGGTCCCTGTTTATCCCTCCCGTTCAAGACGGACAGAATCTGTCCAAATGGCAGGAACACTCACAGGTCCCCAGGCGCACAAGAGTCCGGTATTTCCAGCCTTGTTAGGGTTCTTTTTTTTTCTTAAAGAGGCTCTTTTTTTTCTTTTTTAAGATTCACTTATTTATTTATTAGAGAGAGAGAGCATGGTGGGGGGCAGAGGGAGAAGCAGACTCCCCGCTGAGCTGAGCCCAATGTGGGGCTCGATCCCGGGATCCATGAGATCATGACCTGAGCCGAAACCAGGAGTCGGACACTTAACCAGCCAAGCCCCCCAGGCGCCCCCGTTCCGGTTCCTGAAGAGCACTCAGCGGCATCCTCTGGAGAAAAGGAAGGCGGCAAAGTGAGCAAGTCGCTCACTCAGAGACTGGTGGGGGGAACCGAGCCAGTGGCAAGCGCGTTCTTACCGACCAGTTAGCAGGCTGCCGTCAACATTCTTGACCTTTCTCGAGCCTCCTGCCAGGAGCACATGCACTGCGACTGCCCCTGCCCCTGCTCCAGGCACCTGCCGTCCTGCGCTGGTCCCTCTGCAGACGTGGGGAGCTGAAGTTCGGGAGGTCGGCTGCTGTGGCGCACGCGGCTACCCAGGAGGATCTCGGGGAGCATCCCGGTGTCACCTGCTGCCCCAGGCTCCCGCAGGAGGGGAGCTGTGAGAGAGGGCTGGCTAGATGAGGAGGGACACCTGGGCATCTAGGACAGTCTCACAGCAGCAGACGCAAGCTCTTGCCAGACGCAGGCGGCTCGGTAAGAACACAGTTCCACCTGAGCCGGGCTGTCCTTCCGCACCGGTGTAGGACCCTGAGGATTTTCTCTTGGCGGTGCCCACCGCCCTGTGTGTAGCTGGATGGAGACAGCCGCCGTCCTCTCCTGGACGCCCACTGCTGTCTTACTAACGCGGAGCCTGAAGTCCTTCCCGCCTCCAGTGTTGGCGGCCCCTCCTCTTCTGTATCGGGGCACATGTTTCCCCTACTGCTGTCTGGTTTTAATTCTTGGAAAACTGATTCATCAGAGGTTAACCTTTCTGGATTAATCCTTCCATTTTTCTTCTTTTTTCCTTCTCTCCTGTCTTTTTCTCTTTTCTCTGCTTTTAGAGCTGTTCTTGACTTTACTTTCCAACCTCGTCTTGGAAAGTTGCCATAATGTTAACATTCATTAGTGTTTTTCTGCCCTTTTCATGCATCCCATTTTCTGTGGGTTTTTTTTTCCAGTTTTATACCTTTATTTGACAATCAGTTATTAGTTCTCATTCCACACATTTTGGAGATTTTAGAGATTTTGATAGATAAGCGACGTAGAGAGCTTTCTGGAGAATCATCTTGTTACACTTCCTGGGCAGCCGCACACGGACACAGTGTGGAACGTTCCTTATCCCTTTGACCAGACAGCGTGGTCGAGCCTGGTGTCAGTGTGTACATCTGGAGTTCCCATCTCCTTCACGGCAAATTTCCAGATCTTTCTGTGTGCCAAGGGGCACGCATCTCAGAACCCACTCCGTGGACGTGCTTGTGAACCAACGTTGATGGTGTGTTCTCTGATCACTGTGCCGTTGAAGGCAGAACGGCCCTGGTCACCACCCTTCTCTGTGGGAGCCATTGTGTGGCGTTGGAAGGAAGGGCGTGAGTGCTGTGGGAGAGGGAGAGCCTAGTGCATCCCGTTCTTGGTCGCAGCATGTGTTAGACTGAATCGTGTAATTACTGATACTGGTTTTCAGGTATAAATGTGAGAATATCGTGTGGTTCAACTTGATTTTCTGTCCATTTTCTGAGGGTATTGTGATTTTCTGGGCATTTTAGCCTCCCCAGCTTGCTTGTTTCCTCTAAGTTGCCCTCCTCCCTGCTTGTTTGGGGCTTTCCTCAGACCCAGATGAATCTGGCCGGCCCTTCACATGTTCGTATTTAAGACCGAGCCACCAAGCACTTCCTAGAAGCCCTTTGTGCGTGGGATGATATCAGCCGCTGGTCTTCACGGCCACGGGATCAGACTGGAATCTGGAGGAGGAGAGCCCTGGTGCCCGCTGGGGTGTGGGTCTTGGGACAGCACTCCCATCATTGTGTGTCGGGCGGGGTGGGGGGGCTGCTTGGTGGGGGTACTGGCCTTCCCTGCGTTCCCCGACTCCGTCGCTGCCCCATCCCCACCCAAATCCCCAAGCCCAGTGCCTCTGCCCACAGTCTGAGGGGCTGTTCTCTTGCGAAGTGGAGGGGTGGCCCCTGGAGTGATGCTGACAAGGAGAAAGCTGGGATCAGGAGAGTGGAGGGACGTATCCAATAATTCTTCATGAAAGAGTCTCACCCACAGCCCCCCTTCCCTCCCTTCCACCCTCCCCTGCCTCGTGTGTGTGGACGGGCCTGCCTACGAGCAAGGAGTCCTCAGGCCGCCTCTCTCCAAGCAAGGAGACTGGAGACCATGACCTTGTTGTGCCCTTGAAAGTCCATCCTCCAAGAATGGTGCCGTCTCTCATCTGCCCTTCTCGTTGTGGGCTCGTAATTTGTTAAATTCATTTGTGGCATATGTCGGTGTTGGGAGGTGTAGAAATGAGCACAGGTGAGCAAGCCACCGTGTTTACCGGAAGCTTCTCTGAGACTTAACACGCACGATCATTTCTCAGGTAAGAAAGTAGTAAGGGCTGTCTGTAAACGGTTGGAACAACATTAGTGCATGCAAAGTGGGAAGGACCCCGTACTCCTGCCTCTCGGGGTCAGGTGTCAGGGTAACTTGCTGTAAAGTCTTTGTATTTCTTACCGGGCCGAAACGATGACGCAGCCTGTGCACGGGTCGCAATCTATTCCCGTCGCTTTTCGGACAGTAAATACCCAAACTGTGGCAGCGTTCTTGGGCGTCTTCAGGCATTTTGAGGAATACTCGCTTGCTTTCGTTTAAAAACGAAAAAGCATTTTGACATAATTTTAGACTTACATAAAAGTTGCAGAAATGCGGAGAATTCCTGTATCCTGCATCTGCTTCATCGCCTTTCCCACGCGCGCACTTTGTAACACATGCACGCGCACACGCGAGAACATAATACGCGGGTTTGCCCGGACCGCTTGGGGGCAGACGACAGACACGTACTCCTTCACCAGGGGTGTGTATTCAGTGTGCGTTCCCCGAAGAGGGAGAGCCCCGGGCTGTACGCCCAGCTCCCGGCTGTCGCAGTGAGGACGTGCGCCGGGCACGGTGGCCGCACCTTACTCCTGCCTCGCTACACAGTTGCGTACTTCGTACGTGCGCGCCGGTCAGATCGTGCATCCGATTCGGGGCTGTGCCGTAGTTTTTCTTTGGGATTGTTGGACCAAGAGAATGAACATTTCAGGGTCAATACGAATTTTCAGATTTGTTTCCAGAGACTGGTGGTGCCAGCCACGCCCCACCGTGCAGGGTACTGGAGGGCCTTCCACCCCACCCAGCCTGAGCGGGAGAAGGAGCTGCTTCTACCGTGTTTTTCATTCACGGAGGGGGAGGTGTTGGGCACCACGCTGTGTGCGCACGGGGTCTGGGTACGCCTTCCCGAGTCTTCCTCACGCGGCTCACGTGTGTCCGTTTGCCCCTCCCAGGAGCGGCCCTGGGCCCTCTGCTGGCCGGGCTCCTGTCCCCGTCTGGGTGGAACAACGTGTTCTACATGCTGATGTTCGCGGACGCCTGCGCCTTACTGGTGAGTCTCTCTGGTTGTCGACCGCACGCTGGGGACGCTTCTCCAGGGGAGCTGCGGGCCTCGGGGAGGCTTGGCCTGTGCTCGTGATACGAGGCCTGCCTCTGCATGGTCAGAGCACACGTCCTGCTTGCAGCTTCGGGCGGGACAGTAGGGAGGCAGAGAGCAGGGGCACCCTGGCGTGGGGCCCCAGCCGGCTGTCGTGTCGCTTCCGCGGTGGCTAGATGGGCATCAAATGGCACCCCGAGACAGGACTGTCCAGGGGACCGGAGGAGATGGCAGGCCGTGACCCACCTCCCGCACGGCGATCCCCCTCGCCCCAGTGCCCCCGCGTCCAGCAGCCCCATGTGGAAGCAGCCCAACTCCCAGCACCCGGGGGTTGGGAAAGAAGAGCGGAGGCTGCGGGGACAGGCACCGAGACTCGGGTGTGCTGCAGGACAGACAGGACCCGGCCCGAGTCAGAGGCGTGCAGCGCGCCCCAACAGTGGCTGGTGGGCAGAGTCCCCTCCCGGAAGCAAGTTGGGGATTTGGAAATTTCAGCTCCGTCGATCACACAAAGGCTCTGAGTTTTCACTCCAGGACTCCCTGTTTCAGACAGAATCCAGTGCCACCTTTCAACTCGGGGCCGTTGGGTTTGAAGACACTGCATCTCAGAGTGTTTGTTTCTGTTGGTGCCTGAGGGTGTGGCTACGTCAGCGTCCCCAGATCATTTCAGCTCGGTGGCGGTGAGACTCCCATCAGGGAGGGCTGTTCGAGGACTGGAAACTCGCCTTCTCCAATCCTGGGAGCACATCCGTCCCTTCTAGCCGCCCAGCAGCTCCGAGGAGAGGCAGGGTGTCCACAGGGCCCACGGCATCAAGACAGCATAGACGAGTACCGAGGCCCTGGCTGGAGGCATGGGCGAGTCGCCACTCAGGAACGGCGGGACCACTGCTTGTGCCCCTGGGGAGAGGACAGGAGGTGTCGGGCTGGGCTCCAGCGGGCGGCTCACCGGCAACACGGGCACGTGGGTCCGAGAAGACGAGGACCAGACGGACGTACAGTAAGCAGGCGAGACGCCACGAGAGCTGTCCAGGGAGGAACGGAGCCCGTGGGCACAGACGGCGAGCTCGGCGAGCAGACAGCGCCAAGTCCGGGGGCAGCTTGGACAGCGAGGCGGAGGCTCGGTTGGAGGGAGACCACGCACAGAACGGAGCACACACAGGTGGTCTGCTCTGAGCCCCCCGGGCGGGATCTCGAGACCGGGAGGGGGCACGGCACTGGCCGTGCAGCCACAGAGCTTACAGACCAATGTCTCGGCTCCAGAAGGACAGAGATAAGAACATGAACATACCCGCAGGCAGAAAATAACCAGAAGGAGGCTGGACCGGCCCCGGTGAGACGAGCGGTGTCAGGAGACGGGCCACCCCGCAGCAGGGGCTGGCGGTGGGGGGATGGGTGTGAACTTGGGACGCATCAATCGTGTGTCTGCTGGACCCCGCCCATCTGAGGCTGAGAAGCTCGGCAGCCCGGGCAGGTCACCCAGCGGGGTCAGATCCGGGCGCCCTGCAGGACTGTCCGGGGAGCATGACCGTGATGGCCGTGCTGTCACATGTGTGGTCTTATACCTGCGGACGCATGTCACGGGGGCTCCAGGTGGCTTGTGTCGCCCGCAGACATGGCATTTCATCACCTTTGACCTTCAGAGTCATTGCCCCTTCGTGTCACATGATGCACCGGTCGTCTCCCTCCCTTCTCTGCCCTCCCCTCCCCTCCCACCATCTGGGTCCTTCACACGTGGGCTTTGGTGGCGCATGCAGTGGTCCGGTTCCAGCTCCCGCAGAGCAGGGGGATGCTGGTGAGCTGGCTCAGGGTCCCAGCTTGCCCAGCAGAAATGTCACTGTCATCACCAGCCCTGTACTGAGCGCCTGACGCGCTCGCTCCCTGCGTTCCCACTCCAAGCGCACGCGCACGGCTTGAGGGGCAGAGAGAGCAGCCGGCCGTGCTTCTCTGTGGGGGACACGCCGGTTCTCTTTAGCCTGATCTCGTGGCATACAAGGGACTTCGAGCTCCTGCTGGAAACGCAAGCCTCAGAGACAAAAGTGTCCCTGCCCCCTAGAGCTCCAACCTGAGCCGGGTCTGGCAGAGCCACGTGGGTTTTCAACCTGTGCTGGGCTTCTCCCAGCCCGCCGTCCCTCCGGGCCCGAGGGCACCTGCCGCCTTGGAAGAGGCAGGGTCCACCAAAACCAGGAGCCTGTTTCCCTGCACACGGGGCCTCCTGTGGGGCTGCTGCTGGTGCGCAGAAGACCAGACCCAAAGCCGCCAACAGCAAAGCCAGTTCGCCGGTGTCCTGCCTTGCCATTAGTCCGGCTCTGGAAAGTGACTCGGCCCTGTGAGCGGGAGGGAGCTCGAGGGAACGGTGGCAGGTGACGCAGAGCTGTCCCTGGTTTATTCCCGCAGCCGCCCCGGAGGCCGCAGGCGAGGGTCCCGGCAGAGCCAGGTGTCCCCCCCCCCACCCGCCCCAGTGTCTCCACCATCGTGGATCACCTTGTCTTTCTTCTGTTTCTGATTCGGGTATCTTATGGTTGGACTCATTTCATTTTAAACGTTACTTGATCCCAGAAGTGTTAGGCTGAACTCTGTCCTCACAGCCTTAGCTCCAGGAGCGCAGCGTCCATGGGCCTCTGAGTCCTTTCTGTCCTGAAGGAGCCTCAGAGTCCCCACGGGCAGCCTGGCAGGTGGCATGGGGGCCGCCTCTCTGGACGCAGGCTCCCTGCCCACAGTAGCCGCTTCTCCTCTCTGTTTGGGTGCAGTTCCTGATCCGCCTCATTCACAAGGAGCTGAGCTGCCCGGGGTCTGCGGCCGGGGACCAAGTTCTGTAAGTGGCCCCCGCTCCCGCCTTCCCAACGCCAGGTCAGAGGCCGCTCTGGTGAACCCACCCACTGACCCTGACTTTGCACATCTCATTCACGCTCATTTCTCCCAATGTTGGGGTGGCAGTGGGGGTCATCTCTCCCCCAAATCTGGGAAAAACATCAGGGAAATTGCCTTCTTTGTTGTCTTGGAGCTGCAGCTTTGTGACAGAGATAGTCCCAGCTACAGGTGTCCTGCTCGCGCTCCTGTCTTCCATCCTCTGTCCCCCGGGGCTGCCCACTCCATGTGGCTTTGGAGACCCCGCCGGGAGGGAGAGAAACTGGCTCTGCAGGGTTTGCACGTCCAGCCCGGACGCAGAGTCTCGCCTGTGACCATCGCTGGCTGTGTCACCAGCTGCCCTTTTATCCTCTTCCAGGTTCAAGGAACACTGACCCCTCAAGTCCCCTGGAGGGAGGCTGGGCCTTTCCTTCACACACTGTCAAGGAAAAGTTCAAATAAAGGATCCTGTGTTGGAAAGAGCGGTATCCCCTTGCCTTTTGCACACATCCCTGGAAAAGACACAAAAGACACCTTGAGAAGTCCGGGTCCTGTTTCGGGCGAGCTGTGGGACTCACGACGGCATCCAGGAGGTGCGGGAAGTGCTGTGTCCACGGCGGAGCCTGGGACGCCCGACGGGACAGGCGGGCACCCCAGCAGCTGCTCGGGACTGGCGGGGGGGTGCTCGGGAGCCGGGGTGGCTCAGGTGTCCCAGTCTGGAATGTGAGAGCAGGTGAGCGCCACGCTGGCGGGGACCAGATCCCGCAGTGGGTGCCCGAATGCAGCCGGCGCGAGGCCCAGCCTCTGGAAGGACAGAAGAAACCACGCCTGGATCAGACACCACGACGGAACTCAGAGCCGCCCCAGCACCCAGAGGACTGTTGCAGCGTCTCCGCCTGCTTTGCGGCCCGAGCTCTAGCCGGCGGGAAGCGAGCAGCTGTGAAGCCATCTAGAGGCCCCGGGAGTGCCAGCCGGGACACCCGGACACATCTGGGGTCCGAGCTCCAAGGCTGCCGCTGCTGCTGTCCCTGCAGGTCTCGGGGATGACATGGCTTGGGGGGCGGGCGGGCACCCAGACACCCGGGACTGTCTCTAGTGATGTAGCACCAGTGTGGGCTTATTTATTAAAGACGTGGTATGTGTTCTAGAAGTTTTAGAACCATAAATGGCATTTTTTATTTATTAAGACCACCTGACTCTCCTCTGGCCACTTGTTTTCCCACTTGTTGCCAGGAAAATACTCATCTGCTCTTTGAAATAAAATAGTCTTTTTTAGAAACAGTTCAAGCAGAATGTTGATTGCGTCTGCTCCCGTTTCCACTGTTAACAAAAGAGAACTCCACACACTGCGTGTTCTTGTTTTCTGGGGTCGGACACCGTCCTGAGTTCTGCGGCTGGAAGCTGAGGCCGTTTCCAGCAAAGCAGGTGCCACCCTGCTCAGGAGCGGGCTGAGCCCAGGCCCCGGCAAACAGAGTCGGGCTGTTTTGAAAATCATGCAATTTAAGGGACACTCCGAGATTTGTCCTCGATGCACAGGACAGGGCTGCACCAGAAACTGCACGGAGCGTGGCAGGCTCTCAGAGCCTCTCCCCAGGCACAGGCAGTGGACGCCTTCCCGGTCTGCGTGCCTGGGCCACAGCACAGAGTGCCCCCGGCGGGAATCCAGCCCGGTTCCCCACTGTCCCCATGGAGGCTTCTGTTCCGGGCTCTCTGGAGGACCAGAGAGATGAGGACTCTGCTGGGGGCCGTCGTCCTGCCCAGACAGGCTCGCTTGCATAATAGCACAAGTCACTTACACGCTGGAAAGTTGCAGTAGTAAGTGGAGTGCGGTTCCCGTAAGCACGGAGCGGACCGTGCCGTTCCTCGTGCGAGGCTGGCTCCGCTCACGGGGGTCCCTGCCCCCTGGTTCCTTCTGTCTTGTGTCTGTTGTTCACCTCGAGCCCACAGGCTGGGTCGCTTCTTTTTGCCTTCCCTCCCCGTCCTGGGCTTCGGCACCCGCCCCGCGTGGCCCAGGGCCCACGTTCACTGTGCCCCCGGCAGCGTCCCGCTCACCCTACGGCCTCTGTGCCGGGGCTCCAGCTTCAGCATGGACAACATAGGGCAGAACCGGACGCAAACGTGCGTTCGCGGACGCACAGAGAATTCTTCCTAACAACACGCCGGAGCCCGCTGCTCCCTGCCCCGCGGAAGGATCTCCCTGATGCCTGAACTGGGTCCTATTCCCGGGCAAGGCCTGTAGTCAACGCCCCCCCAACCCCTGTTAAAGCACAGCCACCAGCCTGGGTGGTTCGGTCACAGGATGCTTCAGGGTGATTATTTTTCCCAACTCTGGGGGCTGGGGTATTAGTCTCCACAGCCCACAGAGGAAAGGCCACTCTGCACCCCCGAGCCTGCGGGGGAACCCGTCATGCCTGTTGAGATGCGGAGTCGACATCGGAAAACGAGGCGTCCGCGCAGCTTTGCGTAAGGCAGTTTAGCTGAGACACGCCAGCGCCCCGGACGGAGGACGTGGAGGACGCGTCCTCACTGTTAAAGGAGAAGGCATCTGGTCTAAGCCCAGATGACTCCCTTCTGCTAGTACGGGCTCTGTTCTCATGGCAATGTGACTTTGCCCTCCAGGAGTTCTCCTATTCGTATCCGGGAAGAGATTTTCTATTCAAATCTGGGGGGAGACCCAGGACATCTGAAATGCGAGCTTGTGATGGGCACTGGAGGGCCAGGGCCGAGTGCAGGAGCAGAGCCCTTCCGAGGTAACACGCCTGGGAGCTCCCCCTCCCGTCAGAAATCAGAACCCCCTCTCCAGCTGCCTAATGAGACCCAATAAAACAAATTACTAGAAAAAATGAACTGGAGCAACACAAGTCCTAATTCCTGTTGGGTTGAACAGACATCGTGCCAGTTGCTGTAGGGGTTGTAAATGCTTCCTCTGGTCTCTATGTGGGGAACTTCCATAGTCGGTGGCCGGCAGTGGCCCCGCGCTGACTGCACCTGGAGCAGGAGAGAGCCCAGCCGAGCAGGTGGCCGTGTGCTGGGTGCTGGCAGGGGTGCTGACCGCGGTGCTGGGGTCCGGCGTGCTGTGGGGCGCATGGCTTGGAGACTGTGGGTGCAGTGCACGGGGGATGCTGTGAATTCTTCATGGAGTGTCACATGGAGTGTCCCCAAGAAACCACAGCGGCCTGACTCCTAGGACACCCCCGGGCCTGCCAGGCTGGGGGGTGCAGGCAGCCGAGCTGGCAGGTGTGTCTCTCCAACCAGGGCCAAGACCACATGAAAACGTGGGCCCTTTCCTCAAAACCCAGGGAAAGGTGCTGTTCAAGGTACTGAAACGGTCCTTTCTTCTGCTCTAGGAGGTGGTAGGGGCGGTGGGAGGTGGGATCGTGGGGACAAGCGGGGGCTGTAGGTGGGGATTGTGGGGACACGTGGGGAGCGGCTGGGCTCTGGTCCCCCAGCACCTGCTCCGCTGTCCCACCTGACTTGTTAGAAACCACAGCTCGGAGATCACATGACTCAGACCGTCAGCGCAGCAACTGCAGAGCATTGAACCCCAAGCACGGGCTTCCCAGGAGCAGAGCCCGTGTGGCTGGAGGGTCACGTGCCAGGACGCTGTCCCACTGACACTCCGCCCCGACAGAATGGAGACTGATGGGGGTGGCCTGGTCCTAGCCTTGCCTCTGACTGCACAGGCCGATGTCTGGGGGCAGTGGTTGCAGGAAGGCGGGTGTGCTCCCTCGGTCTCCCCTTCCCTGGGGGTCCTGCCTTGATGCCACGCGGCAAGTTCAGGTGCTACCCCGTGAGCTTCCTTCCCGGCATGTTCCACATCCTCCTCCCACTGACGGTTAGTCCCCAGGCTCTGAGCTGGTCCTGCAAAGCCCGCCATCAGGCTCCAGACAGTCAGCCCCCTTCCCTGCCCGTTCACCAGCCAGCGTGGGGTCACGGCCACCGAAGCCTGGTCCTTTGTGTGCCTGGGGCTGCCGGCCCTGTTCCCGTCCCCGGGCCTGTCCCCCTGCAGTGCGGAGCTTCTGGCCAACGCGGAGACCCTTCACCCAGTCCCTGCGAGAGCAGAGGTCTGCGCGCCACAGGAACCTTCCCGGGAACACGTTCCTGACGAGGGAGCCGGGCTCCGTCAGGCCCCGGACACCACGGAGGAGCCGCACGCGTCACAAACGTGAATCCCAACTAACTGAAACGGTGAGTCCCCGTCCCAGCCGACACAGCCCCAGGATGGGGCAGGAACATCCCTTCACACTCACACCCCGGGACCGCGTGAGTCCCTGTCGGAGAGGCCCCGCTGTGGGCAGAGGGGCCGCGTCCTGCCCCTGAGGAGGCGGGCAGGGGCCCGGCTGGTGGGCTCAGTCGTCCTGGCGGGCAGGGGCGGGGCTGGGCAGCACCTCGGCTTGTTAACACCCCAGAGGGCCGTGCCTCGGTTTGAGGTTCTAACCTGAGGCCTAAATCAGACACTCTGTGACCTGTCAGAGCTCGTACGACCTGCCCTGAGGGCATTTCGGGTGGATGGGCACTGAGTGGAGGCACAGAGAGGTCGCCTGTGCTCACGGCCTGAAGCGGGTCAGGGTCTCGGGCCGTGGCGTCCACACGGCTCCCTGATCAGCTTCGAGTCCAGCAGAAGGAACGGCTTGTGCACCAGCCCCGAGAGTTCCCTTTGTATATTTTGAGACTGAGGCAAGAGTCACGTAACACCACAAAGTGTGTCCTTTGGTGGCTTTCGGTGCCCAGATGATGTGCGACCACAGCTCTCAAGTCTCAGAGCTCGTCACCACCCTGGGCCCCGGTGGTCACACCCCAGCCTCCTCCCCCGAGACCTTCACATTTTAAATGAAGGTTTCCTAATGGATTGGCTCCAGGGCCCCTTTTAGCCCCAAATGCTGGAGCTGAGTGTCTGCAAACTAGCACTTCCTCTCCACTCGCTCACTCTCTCATTAAACAAACACTAGGAAGAAACCGGTAGGCGGGAAAGCGTGGTGTCCCATCGCACTGTCCTGGCTCCTCTGAGAAGCCTCGCAGGGGACCGTGGTCTGGGTCTGCTGACCCCGGAAGACCTCCCCAAGCCGTCGCTGTCCCCAGATCCGAGTCCCACATAGGCCACCAACAGCTCTGGTTTCTCCCACACCCACCCGCCTTCGCCATGGCTTCATTTCCCCACGGCCACACCACCCCCGGCACCAAAGCGTCCATTGAGGCTGCTGCGCACGCGGGTGGGAGGGACACGTGCACAGAGGCTGCACTTTGCACCGACTTCCTGGGAGCCAGACGCTCCAAGTGGCACAGCAGTTTCTCGGCACGTTCCAGAGCGGTGCGCACCGACCCGTAAGGACCAAGACCTCGGCGTGCGCCTTGCCTGCACGGAGAGCCACCCAGCTTGGTAGGATCCCCGGACGTCACGGGTGGAGACGCTGGCCGAGAACGGAAGGCGGCTCTGTCCAGACCAGCTCCGTGAAGCCGGAGTCCTCGGATCCCTCCTGCGCCCACACCCACGGCCGGCGGTTTCCAGCCCATCAGAGGGTCTTCATGAGTTCCACACATGGGAACCGTGAGGAAGGGCCAGTGGGCAGGAACAGCGCCGTGTGAGCCCACACACAGCCTCTTGGTGCACGCACGTGTACGTGTGCACGCCCCCCACTCCCTCCCAGGCCGAGGCCCCAACACAGTGGTCCTAAACCTGCTTCCTCCTCTTCTCACCGAATTTTATTTATCGGCGATCTCCCAGGAGCGCCAGACAGCTCACAGCGCTGGGACCTGCTGCCACCAGGATTAAACACGGGTCGGTTTAGC